AGCATTCTCCCCCATTAGGAGTGAAGGAACTAACATTATTTTCAGAATGTGCATAAGCCATTTGTGAATTATTTCTAGCAACTTTGAGAAGTGTTTTTCTGTCCTAATGGAAAAATCTCACATTCAAAATAGGTAGGCATGTAGACATGCAGAATACGTCTTTATGTCTTTGTAGTGCTTTTAGACATGTTTTACGTGGGCTGCGTGGAGCACGTACTCTTTGGGACACTTACTGGTGTGTTGGTGGTGCAGCCATTCACTGGGTAGGTAGGGTTCAGTTGTCTGTGTTTGATCAAACTCACAAAGAAACAAACAAATAAAAAAACACTTGGAAAAAACGAGTTAGGTTAGTAAATTGTAGAAAGAAATGTGCACATTTCAATACTTGTGCACTTCAATAAGGCATTGGCAGTCTCAGTCCCACTGCTGGCGGTGGTGGCTGTGTGCCCACACAGAGCACAGGTGATCCCTTTCCCCACTCTCCCAGGGGAGGCTGTTTCAACTCACATGTATAGGCGGCAGTTTGGATAACTTTAAGAAGTAGAAAGTTTGACTCTGTTTCTTGAGGGGGAATAATTTTTTCTAATTCATTTAGATTTTTTTGTTCATAAAACAATCTTGAATGTGAGTCAAGCACAGATAGAGATGCAAAGTTCTGTACAAATACAGGGTGACCATTAAAGATGTGAACATATTTCTGTAGTCCTTTCAGCAATCTGTCAATAGAAGTAAAATCCAGTTTTATTATACAATGGATTTTTTTCCTCACAGTTGTAAAATACGACATCATGGATTTCTGTCATTGGATTCTTCTACTTTGACTTTCTGATGCATCAGCAGATGAGTGTACAATTATTCTCCTTGTTGGTAATCTTTCCACTCCCAAATTCCACTCTCAAAACGCACACCCCTGGCAGTTTAAAGAGTAACTTTAAACTCTATATAGAAGCAGGAGTCTTTCATTTCTCATTGGGTAGTGGTAATGCGAGGGAGGGAGGCAGGAAAAGGAGATTGCAGGGCAGGGAAATTCCCTCCAGCCTTCCCACTCCCGATCCTCTCTTTCCGTTTCATTCTCAGCAGCTGGCAACTTCTAAATCCCAGAGAACATTTCTCACTCGTTGCAGGGAGCTGAGAACAGGGTACACTTAATAGTTTACTACTGGAGTCGGTGGAGCAGGAAAACAGGTCACTGACAGGCACTTGGTAAATTCAAAGCACATCAGCTCTGGTTTTGTGATACTGAAGGTACGCACTGTGAGGCTGCTTGGTACTTTACATCTCTCTCTTTTGTAAGGAGATTTTAATGTTTAACTCTTTTATAGACTTCTGAATTTTAACAACAGACCCTCTTTAGATAGGTGCAGTTTTTTTTTGGAATGTTGCTTGGATAAAAAAGAAAATGTGTCACCAAATGTAATGGGGGATCTAGTATTTTAAAATTTGCTGTGCTCACAGTACCACTTTTTCATTGATTGATTGAATGATTTTGTGGAAATAATTTTTGGCTAATAATGTTGTGCTTAAAGTTTTATCAAGGACTTTATCATGAAAATATTGCTATAAAAGAAAGTTTTTGATAAGAGCACAGAGAAGATGTCTTTTCTTGTCTCACTGAGGCACGGTGAGATGCAGAGGCAGATTTTCTGCTTAATCAAACCAAAATAATCTAATGCTCTGTTTGATCTGGCCTGTGGCGTGAACGAGAAAGTGCTATCACTAAATGTCACAGTATTGATTACATTTATTACTTTTTAGAAGGGGTCACATAAGGTGTGTAGGGCTCTGTGAACTCAGTGGCATGAAGAGTTCTTGATGAAGTTAGTGATGAAGATGTCAAGACAGCAAGAGCTATTACATTATGCAGTATGCTTACGGGGCACAGCTCGGCAAATAGATTTTGTAGCAGCCTGACCATAACCATTGCAGAGCACAAGCAATTATTTTTTGGGTAGGATACAGCTCGGATGAAAGGATGTGATTATTAACTTCTTTCACATTCTGGATGTAAACAGAGGCTTTGAGGAAAATTCAGTAAACTTGAAAGACAAATGCTTTTCACACATTTGTAGCACTGCGGGAAAAGAAACTACCTTAGAAATATGGGTGGGTTTTAGAGCTCTCTGACACTCAGCTGCTGTGTTTGTGTGTTTACAATTGAGTTATTCTCAGTTTAAAACTCTGAAGTTGTCAATAAGAATGCAGTGTTTAAATATTCTTCAATTAAAATGGAGGGAGGGAAATGGCAATTGTTGGGAATATTTCTTAAGAATTCTGTGGTACTTCTAGGTCACTGCAATCTCCCTGGCTTTACCAAATGTGCAGCCAGGACTTTACACCAACGCTGGCAAATTTCAGCTATGCAGATTGCATGTTTTGGGGCACAAACCACATTCAGGATTGATTAAGAACAGCCGAATAACTCACAGGAACCATTTTAAAATGCTGCTTTAATGTAGTATGAAGCCACACAGTAGACTTTCTTGTTATCCTGTCCCGAGCTGGCAGTGGTGCTGGGAGGATGCAGCAGTGAGGTGCTGCAAGCAGGCATGGCCTGGGCTTGGTGCCTGTGTAGGGGCAGCCTGAGCTGGTTTGGGTAATTAAGCTAAGTAATTTAAGAATACGTTGTTCAGAGCTGCTCCTGATAACTGCTAGCAAGCACATAATCCCCACAGCCTTCCAAATAGTGTAACGATTTCTGTAGTGGCACTGTGGTATTTTTACTGACAGTTGGTAGAGGAAGCTTAATAAACTGCGTCAGCAATTGGCATTCTCTGCAAACTTCACTTGTACCGCTCTGAATCTTAAAAGCATTAGATGTTTCTTCCAATTTAATATCTGCATAATGGATGTGGATGGCAGGATGCACTGCTGCCAGGCGGCTCGCAGCAGCTCTCTCCCCAGCAGCGCCGTTGTTCTTTCTTATTGGCAAGATGGGACAAGGCTGTCCTCTTGCCTCTTGTCCTGAGTCGGTACTGCAAATCTTCAGTCTCCTGTACAGTACATTTTTGGCGTGTATTACATAGACATGTTGCAGTATTTCATCTCCTGCTCTGCTCCCTTCTCCTCTCCTCCCCCTTGGTTTGCTCTTTGGAAATGTTTTTCAGCTCCTCTGCTTGCTGAGGCAGCACTTCAGTTTGTGGGTTAACATGGTTGATCTTCTCAGAAAGCAATTTTAAATGATTGTTCAGCTATTCCATGTTTGAATGAGCAGATAGACACAGGCCACTTAAAATTATGTATTACATCTGAATTTGAAAAATACTTTATATACCCTTAATATTTTCTCTTTGTTCTAGGCAGGAACAGTTTCCAGTTTTTAGGTTTTGGTATCTTTTAGCATTCTTCTAGGTGCAGTGTAAAATATTTACTTTGCATTCTTGCCTACTACAAGCTCCCTGAGTCTTCAGTGAGATTGAGCCAGTGTTTCTGTTGCCTTTGGAGTCTGGTGTGCATCCCTGCCAGGGCCGTCACCACAACTCTGGGGAGGTTTTAGAAGCTGGGTGGTCTTCCTCACGTATACTTGGTAGCTGCTGAATTCAGTCTTTTGCAAAAACATCAGTACTTTGAATTCACACTTTTCAACCCTATGAAACAGGACTTTTAAATTTTGTTTGTTTGTTTGTTTTTGGTTGATAGCGTGTTCTCTCTTGCTTTTTAAAGTTCTGGTTCTCAAAAAGTGCCTGTTTGGAATCCTGCAACTTTTGCTGTTTTGTAGGTGCAAGGTTAGTGTGTTAGGCATGGTGCAGCCTTAACCCATCATAAGCAGCATACTTGGAAGCAGGTGTGAAGTATGAGAATGGGAACTTCAAGAAGAACAGATACATCATCACTTCAGAATTCCATAATCCTGCATGGAAAAAAAAAAAAAAAAAAATATATATATATATATATAAAAGAGGGAAAGATTGTTTCAGTTGGTTGTATGTACGTGGATTGTTATTTTTTTCATTCTCTCTCTCTGTTTTGTACTACACCCTAATAGAAATGCTTAAAAAAAAATTTAAAAAAAAATCCAAAGATTGGATACTGTCAGAAAGTTTTTTTTCTTTTCATGTCAGTGGGACTGCTTCAGGCAGCTCCTTCTGCTAATGCCAAGCTCTGACTGAGTTGGTCTGACCATCAGGCTTTTTGATGGAATTTCCTCAGGCCGACCCCTGGTGTATCAATTCACTCTTTAGTGTACTCCTCCACATCCAGCCTTGCAGTGTAACAATTCTGGAGTACGCATCTGAATCTTTTTAAAGCTACCCTAGATTGGTGGTGGTTAGAGTATTGGAAAGGATGCTTGTTTCCTATCACGTGCATAAAAAAAAAAGGCTTGTAGTATATGCACCCCTTGCTGTTGCTAAAGCATATGAACATAAAATGCGACATGGTATCTTATCCCATAAGTCACCTGGTCTGGTGTCAGATCTTTTATCATCTAAGGATACCAGTAGCTACCAGGAGAAGAAATTTCTCTTTAAAATAATTTCAAATTTTTGTGAAAGCTAAATTATCACAGGAAGCATTTAAGCTTGGAGAAATAAGTCTATGTCTTTCCTTCCTGCTGTAGGTAGCCTTATCTGATTTTCCTTCAATTGACAATAATATTGGACTGAGTAACCACACATCAGTGCCCTTCCTATTCCCCACTTTGCACACAGTGTCATTTTCTGTGCCTGGAAGTGCGTGTCAGAAGGAGACAGAGACTTTGGAATCTGAATGCCAACAAGTCTCAAGTGAATATATGCTAATGAGGTCTTGCAGTGATTTGTGAATAGCCTGGAGTGGGGTGGGTTTCCGCAAGGACAATAAGGTCATCTTGTTGGACAGCATAGCTGTTCTGCAATTCAGTCCAATAGTTAACACCGGTTTTTAAAATTCTTAAAAGAGAACTCCTACTGCACTTTTGTATAGTCCTGTATTTACCTTAAATGCTTTAGGTATTATTATCTTCTCTGACATATGCAACAAAATAACCATCATCATATTTGTTTATGTTTCTGTTTATCTGGTAGAAAAGAGTGGTGGAACAGCTTCGAAAGAATTTGATAGTGAAGCAGGAACAGCCAGACAGTAAGTTTCAAATACAGCCATTGGCACAGTCAGAAAACAAACTACAGACGCCACAGCCACAACCACTACAACAACTACAGCAACACCACCATCAACAGCAGCAGCAGTCTACTGCACCCTCTCCAAACGTGATTGGATCACAGGTAAGAATTGCTAGAGCAGTTCTTTTCCTTGCTGAAGGTAAAGTTCACTGCAGAAAAATCAAAGGTGCAGACAGAAAATTACAAACTTTCACTTTGGCCTCTTAGTGTATCAATATTAATTTATCTTTCTGTGTATGCACACATAGCAGTTGTCTGGTTTGGTTTGTTGGTTTTTTTTTTCAATAACCACCTACTAGAGACTAAAAGTCAGATCATAATGTCACAAAAAAGAAAGGTGGTCACATCATCTTACTTAGAAATAAATAAAAGTTCAGCAGATTAATCTGTCTTCTACACAGGTGCCTGTGTGATTACCCATAGCTAGTAGAACTCAAGAAACAGTAAAGACTTTGCTTGTACTGTATGAAGTGTATGATTAAAATCATTCATTTTTAAGAGACTCACACTCTTTGTGAAGAAAACAGTTCCCTCTTCTTTCTGCCTGGCTCTTTCTAAACAGATGTTACTCATATGTAATAATTCTTACCCGAGTCTGCACACATTAATTTAAGAGGATACAATGGTAGTTGCAAAGTTTAAATTTTAGAAAGTAGTGTATTTATTGGGAAGGCACATTAATTTCATTACAGTATAGGATTAGAGATATAATCCCAGAACTCACCAGGGAAAGTGGACCGCTTTACTGAAAAGAAAATTGCAAGCTAATTCCAAGTCTCTACTGTTCAAATATTTAGAATCTTGAAAGTCTGCTAATAAAGCAGCTAGAAAGGCAGGGGTATATTTTATATAAGAGGGTGTGTGACTTTTTTTTTACCTGTTGTTGCCATCTCAACAGCTCGCATGTACTTGGATAGGCAGATGGCAGAATTCACCGTTTGCTTTATGCATATTGCAGGGAGTTGCAACCATAACTTTGACTGGTAACAATTCTCCTCTTTTCCTGAAAGTAGAGGGGGAAGAAATGGTTGGGATCTTAGTTATCTCATTAACTGAACAAGTTGTTTTGAATATTTTCTAAAAATATCTTTGTGAGGCTTAGGTACTTGAAAAAGAATATTGAAGAAATGAAGCAGACTTATCTAAGAAAAAGATGGTCTCGAGCACAAACATCTACACTGAATCTAGGACAGAACTATGCAGTGTGTACTAATGTGTCGTAAAATGGTGAATCACTCTTTGCTGTATCATCGGTTTTTGCTTTTCAGTCAGGAAACACAACTGCAAAAGCAGCCTTACATTTTTCTCCTTGTTCCACGCTTTGCATTCACACATTAACTTCCAGGTCATCTTCTGGGTTGCAAAAACCCAGGTTTTGTTTAAAGTTAAAGAGCCCTCTAGTGAAACAGTCACAAAACTGCTACACCCTTCTGACTCCTTGATGCAGTTGCACTCAGAAAGTAATCAGGAACTGAAATGCAGGTCTCCCTCTCATTTGAATAAAAACCAGCTTGTGCCCTTAAGTGGTCTGTTATTGTTTATGTTGGTATAACTCTAAAGTATCATCACTTGCTTCTGTACGTGGAATCTATGTACAGATTCTCTGTTCTCTTGCTCCTCAGTAAAACTGCGCCTTCTCTTTCAGCAAAGATATAAGGAACATGTAATGTCAAGTATTTGGTCCCTGTATAAAGGTTATTGCTGCCAACTTTTGTAACAATACATTTTCCAGTAAAGAGAATGCTTTCAATTGCTATTTTCAGAGTAATTCAGTTTAGGAATAAAGTTATATATACTGCTTTAATAGTGACATTGTAAGATACTTAACGTAATCCAGTAAGAGGGATATTTTTTCAAAAAGCAGCAAACCTGCTGAAAGCTCGTACTGTTACAATGTTATTATGTGAAATAAAGCAAACTTGCTATGAATGGTACTTCAGTATGAATTCATGCATTGAAAACCTTTTAGAATAACTGAAGCAATTAACGTTCTGCAAAGTAACACAGAAATTCAAGCTCTGTGATCTGCTGTCTGAAACTATGCTCTCAGTACTTTCACACTTAGCAGAACCCCTTGAAAGTGTCCCAGTCTTGTATTACATGATGGATTACACTTTCCTTTAAAATGTGTTTATAGTTGAATGTAATTCTTGTGAAAATGATATGGTGTTACATCTTATTGGAAAAGCTTGAATAATATTACTGCTTCAGGGAAAAGAAGCCTCTTGCTTTGGAGACAGTGCAGTAGAGGTCAATGAGAAGCTCTTATATCTAAAACAGAAAGTTAAGGGAATTGTTCACGTTGAGACAAGGAAAAAAATTATTATGACTGGATAAATGCATTAAATTGTAGCACAAATTATTCTTTGATTTGGCATTATACAGTGATTTTTTCACACTTGAGTGTAATTAACAATTAGGAGATATAGTTTAAGCAGTAAAAAATTGGTGGTGTGAAGGCAAAATGCATTTTAGTTTAAGGAAATAGTATCAGAGAAAATCATAATGGCAAAATCTGAATCAGGCATGTTCAGAACATGACAAAGGCTGCCTGACCCCTGCTTCTCCATTTTTTCCTGTTCTAAAGTCTAGCACCATTGTCAAGAGGGAATAGCTCTTACTTCATTCTAAAAGCATTTAATGATGCCAATAACTGTTTTGAAGATGCAGAGTCATTAATACACTGGATTTTTTACACCAAAGAGAGAAGGAATAAGTTCTGCCATTCTGTTGAGTGTCATTCATCATGATTTTTCTGTGCACATTGTGTTCTGATTTTATATGGAGATTTTCCTGCCTTGTTACTTTTTGAATAAGATTGATATTTTCTGTTTTCCTCAGTATCTTAGAAGACGGTACATTTTAAACCAAAATTAGGAATTATGATTGTTTAACTTCGAGCATAGTGTATCAGTGCATTTCAGATAAATCCTGACATTAAGTGATTCAAAACCACTCTCTTTAAAACAGGCTAAGAGCAATCTGGAATCATGTGCATGCACCAAAACCATCCCCACTCCCCCATTCCAGTGAAGTTAAAATTAATTGCCTGCAGCTGGACCCGCATACAGCCAGCTCACAACTCCAGGATAGCCCTACTGGTTTTCTTGGGAAAGAACAAGGACTAAATTACTGTCTGTATGTCTAAAACTGAAATTTGGACTGGCCAGAATCAAAATCCATTTTTGTTCTTAAAGAAAAAAATAAGGTTGTGAGTTTTTTTTCCCATCTTCCTCTGATTGTGATCTCTGTAAGTAAAGTTTCCATTTGGAATTTTTTATTTTAATTGATGAGAAGCTAGTTTGCTGGTTTGTTTCATAAACTTCCAGCATATAGGTTTGATGCTGACAGTACTTATTTAGAAGTAGTATGAAAAACTAAAAGATCAAAAAACGTATATGCCTCTGCTAACGCTTAGTTGTCATATTCTCAGAAACTGTTTTTGAATCAATCTCTAATTCTGCAAATGATGAAAATGTTCCCAACAGGAGCCCCAAGTGAGATTTCTTTCTAGCTATTCAGTTTTCAGAAGAGTGAAATCATATGCATGTCTGAACAGTAGGCAGGTAGACTTAGTGCTGCCTTTTCTTTTACTGTCTATTGTTTCTGACAAACCAGCCCACATCCTGTCTGATGCCAAGTGTCTCTGTCTCTTACAGTGTTTTTTCTGTTTCCTCTAGAAAACGGTAACTACAGCTTCTATGATCACCACTAAGACACTACCTCTCGTCTTGAAAGCAGCAACTGCGACCATGCCTGCCTCCGTTGTGGGTCAGAGACCTACCATTGCCATGGTTACTGCTATCAACAACAACCAGAAAGCAGTCCTCAGCACTGATGCGCAGAATGCACCGGTCAACCTCCAGACAACAAATAAGGTCACTGGGCCAGGAGCTGAGACCGTCCAAATAGTGGCGAAAAACACAGTCACTTTGGTAAGCATTTCATGTGTTCACCCTGCAAATATGTATGGTTTAGTTTGCAGGAGGGCTATAGGAAAAAAAAAATCACATTTTTGTACCAGAAAGGAGAAGAGTAGGGACTTGTTATGAGACTTTGTAGGTTGACATTGCTAAACTAAAAGACCAGGAGAAAAATATTTACTCTCTGCATGGGTTGTTACTACTGTTCAGCTCTACAGAATTAAATCAGTGCTGTCATCACCTCTGTGTAGTAACTGTTAGTCATGGGGAAGCAGCAATTGTTTTGCCCCTACGTAGTCTATGGGCTGTGTTCTGCAAAATTTCAACTCTTTTGTTTGGTAAAGGTGCTGTCAGAATTTCATGGTTTGATCATTTTAGGTTTTTGTTTTACATTTTTTTAGTCAATCTCTCTTGTTCACTTTCTGTGATAAAGTCTGTCATGTTAGACACACCATTTAATTCTGCTCGCTATCATGTCTTCACTCACCACTTTTTCATACACGGATCCTGTTCTTTAATCATGTATTTTGGAAAGTGTTCTTGATTATATCATACAGTCTTTTCCAGAGTAGTTAACTTGTTGAACAATTAATGAGACACCTGAAAATATAAGAAGAAATGTTGTAGAATTAGATTATATAACCTTCTTGGACTGGAAATTAGGAATTATATAGGATCATGACAGGGAAATTCCACTTTTGAATTAAATATTAAGGCTTCACTAAATACAAATCTTTATTTATCTTTATTTAAAAATACAGTTTAATAATGCAAATTAAAGTAATTTTACTTCCCGATACAGCATCATTGTAATCAGAATAGAACATCTGGAGTTTTTTCTACCATTCCCTTTTCCAGAGTCATCTGTTGTCCCCCTGTCATCTGACTTTCATGCTTCTGCTTAATCTCTTTGCTGAATAACCTACTTAGTCTGTGCAGGTGATAGTGTTGTTATACTTACACATGATTTAGGTTTTGGAAGCACATTTCATAAAAAATCTCAGAATATTTTCCCAAGCTTTAATTAATCAGTGTGATACCTTTTTGAAGTAAATCGCAATCTTATGTGTATGGACAGAAGTAGAGAAGGGTGGAAACTAACATGGACATTAATCTCAAAGAATCTCACTCAACTAGGGTAGTTAGTAGCACTAATCAGATTAATTATTTGGCAACTCCAATTGATTTCAGGTAGAAAGAGAAGTACTTAAGACTCCTTAAAATCAGAGCTTAATTGCTTCAACTGACTTACTTTTGAATTTTAGGCTGTGCATTTACAGCCCCTCAGAGTGTCATTCATATTTCTAGAAATAGAAGAGTTCTAACTTCCAAATTTTCTCATTGGTGTGAGATAATCTGTTGTTCTCCTGGATGCCATTGAATATAATAGGATAGTACAGCTGGACATCAAAGCCTGAAGTTACTTTCTGTCAGTTATAATGCCGTTTATGAACCGTTAAAACAAATCATAGTTGCATTATCTTCAGATGAAGCGGTTTTAGATCACAGACCACAGTAGTTAGTACAGGTGCACTAAAAGGAGAGATACCTTCTGTTTGTGAACAAAGGTATATAGGGGTACTTGGAAAGTAGGGGTACTTCTGTTTTCAGTACATTTGTAATGAAGAAGCTGTTACAATGAAAAACTATGGAGTGAAAAGCCAGGAACATCAAGTCTGAAAATGCATTCAAGGTGTTGATTTTGGTGAACAACATCAGAGCTATTTTTCTCTGATTGAACTATGTCTTACATTCTTACAGCAGGTTCAGGCTACACCCCAGCCCATAAAAGTGCCGCAGTTCATCCCTCCTCCCAGACTCACTCCTCGTCCAAACTTTCTTCCACAGGTAAGTGTACAGAGAGCAAGCAATTGAAGAGGGACCTTAATTATAGCATAAATAGGAGAAATTTTCTGTGAACATCGTGCCTGTCAGTCTTTATTGGTGACCTGGTGGAGGAGACAATTAATCTTCATGGGGAGATTTAGACTGGATGTACAATAGAACAGAACAGAATGATTCTGTTGGAAGGAATCTTCAAAGATCATCCAGTCCAGCTGCCGGAGCAGTTCATTATCCAAATGCCTCTTAAAATACTGACAAGCACAAAGCAACAACCACCTCTCTAGGAAATTTGTTCCAGTTTTTGACCGCCTTCAAAGTAACAAAAGCTTTCCTAATATCCAGTCAGGAAATAATTTCTCACTGTGGGAACATTTAGGAGTGGAATAGGCTGCCCAGAGGAGTGGTGGAATCTCTAGCCTTGAGGGTTAGCAAGACCTGTCTGGACAAAGCCCTGAGCATCTTGGTCTGCAGTTAGTGTTGGCCTTGCACTGAGAAGGAGATTGGATTAGAAATATCCTGAGTTTCCTCCTGCCCTGCATGTCTGTGATTATGAGATTAGCATGTAGTGATCATTTATGAATGTATTTGCATCAAAAGGAATGAACCCACTGAACCAGTGTCAGCAAAAATCAATGTATCACCCAAGGCCTTAAATTGCTGTAATTGTTATTTACTGCTTATGAGCAAGAAGGGAAAAACAAGATGTCTCTAGGTTGTTCCCAAGTATTTCTGTATTGCAGCAGAGAGTGATTTCTGTTCACAGCTGAGCAGTAAAACTTGTAGAAAACAAATTTTTTTCACAGGTTGGAAAAGACACTGATTCTTTCTTCATTAAAGTAAAAGATCTTGGAGGAACTATTTCATTTCCAACATATACTTGGCACTGATTAGAAGCCTTAATGTGGTGCAAAAGAAAAAAAAGGAAAGTATAGGCTGGTGTCTGCTTAAAACTTAGGGACTGTGAAATCTGTTGGAACATCACCTTGTTTTTAATGATGCAATCCATTGTGGAGTATTACATGTGAATAGGACAACAGAAATTAAATAGTGAAAAAGACTTTATTTTCAGAGTAATTTATTCTGTTTCTGTACACTGTAATCATGTAGTAAGTAAAAACAATGGGCAAGAAATAAACAAGTATTTGTAGTAGAGTACTGAACAATTTTTGTGACTCATGGAAGAAAAATATTACTAACTGCCTTTACCTGTACCCTTCAGCATTTTCAGTGAGAGATTTTTTATTGTGAAAATTCTATTTATTTAGCAAGAATGGATGTTCAAGTGTCTATTTAGACATGTACAGAGTGATATGATAACAGTGATAACAAGGATTTTCTGAAAAATTGTTGGAGACTCAGTATAGAGCCCTGAGACACACTTCTAACATGAAAGTCTCAGCAGTGCCTGTAAATATTACATTAGTTTTTGGCTCACAAAAGCAATGTTGGTTTAGACATATATAAGGCACTTGGCAGTATATATGTAATATAAATATCTGTGCATCCAAATACCATTTCAGGGACTGTGACTGCGTATGCAAATGTTTTATGGAGGGATCTTATGAAAGTAGGTTCGAAAATGTGGCTTTTTCTTTTTCATACCATACTTGTGACACTGTGCTAAAAATTACATTCTGTAAGGAATCAACCTTGCGTGGATTATACAGTCTGAATTGAAAGACTTAGTAAATAATTTTTTCTGCAGTATTGATATATGAATATCTCTCTTCCTTTTTTTTTTTTCCCATAGGTTCGACCTAAGCCAGTTGCCCAAAATAACATTCCTATTGCCCCAGCACCTCCTCCAATGCTTGCAGCTCCTCAGCTTATTCAGAGGCCTGTGATGTTGACAACAAAGTTCACACCCACCTCTTTACCCAACTCTCAGAACTCCATACATCCAGTTCGTGTAGTTAACGGGCAGACAGCAACCATAGCCAAAACTTTCCCTATGGCACAGCTCACCAGCATCGTGATAGCAGCACCGGGTACCAGGCTTGCTGGACCTCAGACTGTACAGATCAGCAAACCAAACATAGAAAAACAGGTACAGATAAGAAAGTGTCTACTGAATAAGCATACTGGTTGTATTGTTTTATGGTGCCAGTTTTGGAGAGGATAAGAAATGGGGAAGCTTTCATTTTTGCTGGAAATATTCATGTTCCAACAGTAGTACAAATTATGAAATGACTTCTGACTCTTGGGGTAGAAATAACCTTTTTTCTTTAACATCTTCTTTTCATACTTTAAGAGTTTTTTTCTCTCTACTGATCAGCTTCAGTTGTTTACAAGCAAGTTATATTCCAAGGCTGTACTAATTTCTTGGAGACTGTGTACGAACCAAAATCCATGTTCATATGAAGCCTTAAAGAAACACTGGAAAAATATTTTCAGTGTTTTTGTTTTTCAGATGGTGCCAACCAGAGAAGCAAAAAAAAAAAAAAAAAGATGCAAAACCATAGAAGTATATAATCCAACAATTTCTTCCTTGATCTTGTAGTCTTGTTGTCTTATAATTGGAGAAAAAATAGAGTCACTCATCTTTAGAGGACTGGTAGTTTACCATGACGAAATTGGGTTAAATGAGCGGAAGGGAGACCCTCAGAAACAGAGCATTCTAGATAATTAGTTTTAAAGTCTCTCTCCACCGAAGATTTTCTTAAAGTTTTTACTTTAGCATGGTTTGCACCTGCTGCTTCCTTGACATTCAGTTGAAGTGAAGCAATCTTCTATTTCACTTTTAATTCTTTCATTTATTACACATTAGTGATATTATACCATTATATAATATATAATGCATTATCTATAACATACAATGTGTATTTATGTAATTATGCATATATTACTATACATTTTACTTAGAAATCTTTCGTAGACTAATGTGCCTTGAAGTTATTTTCCACGTTTGAAGTCACCTATAGAGACCGAGATAATCTAGTGCATGGAATATATGCTTGTGTTCTGTTCTCCCTATGAATTCACTTGAGTAGGTTCTTGTGTACCTCAGGGCAGTTCTACAAGTTATTCAGCAGTGCACTTTTCATTTGATTTGAAGTAGTACTTCTACAATACTATACTTTTGATGCCTATTCCTTTTGATGTCAGCAATATTCATTTGCTCTTCAAATAATTACTGGAAAATCAAGGAACTGTTGAAAAACATACGGAAAAATGTTGGTGGTTTAATAATATACTTTTCAGTATATTTTCCCCGTATGGTAGAGAGGAAGAGTTTGTGTCTTTGTAGAGATTACCTCAGTTTTTAGCATAGTATCAACAGCTATGCCATGGATTGGGGGTTGGCACGAAGAGTTTTGTGGTATCACTAAAGAAGAATCTGACTTAAGAAAAAAAAGTGCAGAAAAATAAGAGGTCTTAGGAGTCAGAGAGTTTTTGAGCCATTCATAATTCTTCAAGAAGATTGAAGAACCAGAAGTATAAAATGCATGTAACCATGCAGAATGGCTTTACCTGAAGTTTTCCATCCCATACAGTACAGCAACTTCTGTAATGGAGTTAACTCTTGTGATGACTTTTACTGCTTGCATGGCTGCTTGGGTTAATGGAATAGTTGTGAGGCTGCTTCATCCTTTGTTAAAGCAAAACAGTATTTAATATTCCTCTCAGTCCGGTTCTTTGTTAATACACTACCAACTTTAAACTGTTTTCCTTTGTATCTGCTGAAGTATTTGTTTTGCTTTATTAGTCAAAATAAAATAGTCCTTCTTATCAGAGAATGAGAGAAACATTTTTTTTTTTCAGGCTATTAAACCACATGTGGAAGCAGAAGAGAAGCAAACAGAAAGTCGTACAGTTACTCCACCTGCTGCACCGAAGCCAAAACGAGAAGAAAATCCACAGGTATCAGAACACATCCAGAGTTTTCTGGATGGAAGGAACTCCTTATCCTTCAGAAAACACTTTTTTTCCCCCCTCTTCCTTTAAGATTCCTAAACTTTCATATTCCATATATTCTATTGGGCAGCAGTAACTATCAGTCTATGACTGTAGACCTATCAGGTCTACAGAATGAGAAATCTAAACAGATATAATGTATTAGCATATTTCATCCTGGTCTTTTGTCAAATTAGAAGTTTGTAATTTCCCTGATACTTCCTTCAACCAGAAAGCTTAGATTACAGTGTTGATTTCTAATCCTTTGAGCTTTTAGACTGTTGGAGAACTGCCTTTTTTTTCCCTTATAAAAGACTACTGTTCTGATTAGCAGGATGGAAAGAGCCGTGTATGTACACATCCTGCCTAGATTTTATTCTAGCTTAGGTCCCATTAGTCTTGGGGGGATGGAAAAACCAAAATGGCTATTTCTTAGAGCCTTTCTGCCATGTTGAGCTCTGGAACTGTTTACAACTAAATGTGTTTGTTTTTTTAAAATAGATTCAAGCTGACTATTTGTAATGTGAGCATTAGCTACTGTCAGTACAAAATCTGATTTTTAGATGTCTGTGCACTTCTTGCATTAAAATTAGAATCCCTTGAGAAAGCCATAGCCCTAATCAGACTGCATAACAGACTTGCTTCTTAGATTCTGCAATTATATGGAGATGGTGTTCTGTAGCCAGTAATATTTTACTGGCAAGCAAACTGTGTTGGCATTTACTAAGAACCAATCACTTAGTTATCTCAGTGTATTGGAAGTAAAGAAACTGCTTTCTTGTTCCTGGCTCTGCCAACTCGGTGATCGTAAGCAATTGACATTTCCCTATGTATCAGCCTAGCTTCCCAAATTATCATATATAAATGAAAAGTGAATTATGGAAGCAAAGCATTATTAGTAACATCTGTGGTGCTTAGTTATCTGTCAACTGATTTTAAAGGGCCTAAATAAAGTACCTTATCCTAACAATTGGAATTGTCATGATCTCTGTATTTTTCTCTCTCTTCCCTCTCACAGAAACTTGCCTTCATGGTGTCTCTAGGACTAGTTACTCATGACCATCTGGAAGGTAAAAAAAAAAATGTCTTAAGCTGGTTCTTGAGCTCTTTGTTTCACAGTCATTCTGAATGGGAATTACAAGTCCAACATATTTCTGTATTCAGTGTAGTATTTTCTTACACAAAAGTGCTTTTGGGATGTTTATACTTTTGATCTAACTGGTCTCTCTTGCACGTCCTTTATTCTCCTTATTACCTGGAAGCAAAGCAGTTGCTTATGCAGCTGAGATCAGAAGGATCGGTGTTTGGAAAGAAAGTGTATGCTTTGAGGGTAGGAAAGAAATATGTGACAATATTGCTGCATTCTGAACAGCCTCTGTATTTGCAAAGTTATGCCGTGGATAATTTTACAGTAATCCACATCTGGATTTCTCATTTCTTTCATGATTTCATGGGACTGTAATCTGTAAAGGAAATGAATTAATAGATTATAATTTCTTTTCTAAATCCTATACATTGAAAAACAGCCTAACATTGCAGCAGCTTGTGTATTTCTGTACTGTGTTTATTTTTAGGCACTGACAAGGTTATCAGAGGCTTCTAGTTTTAGCTCCCAATTACACTGACTACCAGTATAAAAAGTCTTAATCCTGAAGTACTGCTATTTAGAGAGAAGATGATGGCCATTTTGTGAATTAGTTGAGCACTATACTTGTATTTTTTGTTAGCTCTTAGTTCCAAACCTGCAGAAATTAGAAGCATGATAAAGTTTCCTCTGTCGAGCATGAATGGTGTTCTGTAGAAATCTTCACGTGCAAACTTCATTCTTAGGAACTCATAATTTCTAGGGCCTGTTGTTTTCTAACCTGAATGCTTTGTTTTTCAAGAAATCCAAAGTAAGCGACAAGAGAGGAAAAGAAGAACAACAGCAAATCCAGTATACAGCGGAGCTGTTTTTGAGCCTGAGGTATTGATCTCTTGTTGGGGGAAGCCAGTCCTTTCATTCTGAGCTTGTTTACTGCCACATTGCCACCATACCACCATGACAATTAAGCCATCTTACTTCTGACAAGACAGGGAAGCTATTGTTTGTAATTCAGATGGCCATTGCAATGATGTGGCCCTTAGATTTTTTAATCAGGAGGCACATTGGGGTGTTCTTATAACATTTATGTCTTTTTCTGCCTTCTCCTATGTAAAACTGAAATTAAATGGCAGTGTGTGTTAGTCTTAACCATTAGGTCAGCTTGCATATTGGACTGAAGCAGTCCAGAGGTCAGAAGTAGTGTAAAAAAGCTAACTTCTCTGAAGTGTGCTCCAGAAAACAGAACAGCTGATAATCCTATGTAGTGCTACTTTGCTGTTCATCAGCTATTTTATATAGTTGTTGCCAAAAATGTTAGCCAGCTAAAATGGTTGTGCTTTCCCCTGCAGCGCAAGAAGAGTGCAGTCACGTACCTGAACAGCACAATGCATCCTGGAACGCGTAAAAGAGGTGAGGTATACTTAGACATGTCTTCCTGTTCTCTGCCTCTTCCTCCATCTTGCATTTGCAGTCCCCTTGTTCATTTGAAGGGCAAAACAGAGAAGGACTTTACAGTACTTCATTTGTCTAGTAAATTTCCATGGTAGACACAGATCTTGACTTCCAGGGATTAGCATAGCAGGTTTTATTAAGCAGCTCAGTGTTTAATTTCAGTTTCACCTTCCCCCACAAAAATAGAGCAAAGTGAAAGGTGAGATGTCTGAACATCATTTAGAGGTATAAAGCTGCTGTCGAGATTCTCTTTTTAATAACTAAATTGTATTGCTACTGTCAAGAAGAAGGTGGTTGTGGAAGAAGTGTCTGTGCCCTGAGTAGGAGAGGAAACTTGGTGTGAGAAAAGCTTGTTCCCCAGTGGGAGCAGAGATGGTTCCTTGGAAAGAATTTGTCTTGAGAAAGTCTATCTTGCTCTTTCTGAGCAGTTTATTGCGAGCAGAGTGCCACTTGTCCAGGAATGGAATATGATCTTTTGTATAGGTATGCAGCATTCTTCAGTCCAGATTCTTCTGTAAAAATAGTTGAAATTTTAGTACTTATGTCATGATGAAAGACATGAGTCAGCACAAGATAGCAGAGAACTTCATACTGGTTTTCATACAAGGCATCAACCACACATACATCAATTTTTTCTGATTTTATGATTTTATGCAGTTCTTAAGAACTTGTGCAGTCAAGTATAGAATCACCAGTTCAATTATGATTTTTTTTTTGCTGCAATGTCAAATATTCACTTGATGCGTACTTTCTTTGACAAACCTCATCAGTCCAGAAGGCATTGTGACAGAGCTGACCCTTGTGCTGTTTTGAATAAAGCACGTCGGTATCCACCACTATCTTCTAGTCACATTAAAAAAAGATTTTTTCTCTAATAGTTTTGTATGAATTTTACAGAGATAGAGTTTTGCATTTGCTCTGTGGATAAATAAATGTTCCTACTTCTAGTAATGATTTCTTAATGTTATTTTATAAGTCATTGTGAACAATTACTGCATCAATGAAAGGGATTGCATGCTTTTGTGCTTGATATTCTCTTAGCCTGTTTATGCATGCTGACTGCTGTTTTACTGTCTTTTTTTTTCTCACACACTGTTGTGAGCCTGCACCTTCTATAGCACCAAATTAGTAGCATGCATTTTTAACTGATAGAAGATTTGGATGTGTACATTTATTTTGTGATTCAGAATAGCAGTATATTAGTTGTAAAGCTTATGTAAGCGTGTGCCCTTGAGAGCTTTAGTTGGTGCTGAGCATGTCAGAAATTTCAGCCATGGACATCACTATCAGAAATCCATTTCCAAGGACATACTTAGTTCTGGAACATATCCAGACCTTAAATGCAAGGTTTAGCATGTTAATAGGTATGGACTGACAATCTGTAAACATAAGATCTGGGGAATTATTCCTAGATCGTAAGTCCTTTGTGTTTACATATCCATAAATTACTGTGGAGAAGGGAGGCAGAAATGATGGTTACATATTGTTTTTTACTATCTTACTTTGCATACATAATTTTATGAAAACAGTTACAGACACATTTTGCACTTCCGCTAATCTGAAGGAGCATATAGGAGTTGTGCATAGTCAAACAAACTAGACTGAGAAATGTTAAGAAAAAACACAGAATCTGAGGAGAGTCGCATTTTAAGACCAACGATAGATTACAACTGGTAGTACTGGGGTTATAAGTCACACAACAGGACTTTTCTTGAGGCACCCTAATTTAAAAGATGCACCAGTAAAGTAGAAAGATCTGTGGGTGAGTGGGTTTAAAAAAATGAGAAGAAAAGGAGGGGGTTGGAATGGTGAGTGTTGGCCTCTGATATAGGACTTAACTTTTATGTAGATTTATGCTGGCAGTAGAAAGATAGGAATGTGTGGGATAACAGTAGAAAGGATATCATAGTAGTTACTGTGGCTTCCATCTAGCTTTGGTGCCAACATTTTTTCCCTAAAAACTGAGTAGCCTTGTTTCTAGGAGTCCGCAGACTGCTTTTGGGGGAGTAGTTCTTTGACCTTCTTACAGAACTGATTTCTATTTCCTTCTGAAATACATCTTTTAAATATTCTTTCCTTGCAAAATTCTACTTAAATATTTCTTTAAAAATGTTTAAATCTTTGCTTCTGTCCTTCCACTTGTAACTTTTATATTAACTTCCTCTCTGTGCTACATCATTTCCTTTTTCATGCTAGCCAATGAGGACCACTGGCCAAAGGTATGTAAGATTTTGTTTGTTTGTTTGTTTGTTTGTTCCCTTTTGTTAATATGTAGGTCGTCCACCTAAGTACAACACGGTGCTGGGGTTTGGGGCTTTGACGCCCACGTCCCCTCTGTCCAGTTATCCTGACTCCCCTGAAAATGAAAAGACAGAGACCACATTTACTTTTCCCGCGGCTGTTCAGCCTGTGTCCCTGCCTAGCCCCAGCTCCACAGACGTAAGTAATTCTTGGGGAGGGAGGTTACTTTTGGAAAGATATGCAGAAACAATCACGAGGAAAATCATTGCAGATCATTGCAGTTTCTTTAGTCACACTCATCCTTTGTCCTGGTTCAGTGTAGTGAAACCATCTAGTATCCTTTTAACGCCCTTCCTTTTTCCTCCTGCACCTATGTTCTTATCCTGTAGAGATTTTATTTATAACATGCGGTGGATTGAAACACTGGGAGGCACTAGGAATGCTAGATGAGCTCATTTCCTTTGTGCCATGTTTGAGATCTTGTCTGACTGAATTGAATCTGTCATCCATGATAAAGGGGAAAGGGGAGAATGGAAAATATTACTTACAGACCATAATAACAAAAAGTTGTGATGTTTCAGTAATGAGAGAAGGAAAACATCTTGGATCACCCAAGACAGCCAGGAGCAGTGTTCACTGCACTGGTTATGGCAGTTCAGCTACATTGGTAGCTGAATACATTGCTATGTGATCACTTCACAAGATCTGTCTCAAATGAAGTCTGCTCATTTTTTCATAATTTATAAAGAAATATCCTTTTTTTTAATTTAAAAAAGTTAAAAACTAAGATTTGCCCCTCAAAACGCAGCCTTTTTTTAAGTTGCTGAGGATGACCCAGTTATTTCATTGTTTCTGTTTCTTGCAAAAGCATTAAGAAAAAATTTAAAGGCTGTGCATAAGCTTCTGAAAAGAAATAGCAGGGAAAGTTGATCTGAGTTACTGTGTAGGTCTTACACGACGTAATGAATGGACAGTATGGTTTGTCCAAAAGTGTACAATGATTGTCCTGTATGAGTGAAGTAATTCATTGTACAAAACTTGTCAGGAGTTGTAGTGTACTTCTAGTAAAGTGCTTGCCTTTTAGTAACTACTAATTACTGGGAACGTTTTGAAAATAAAAAGGTATTGGCTTATTTATTCACATGAATAAGTGATCTAGGTTTGTTTGTTTGTATGCTTCTTTTTTATGTAATATTGTGTATAATTGAGAGCCAGCAACTTGAAATGGACTTTAAGGAAGAGTTGAGTTGGGTGGTTTTATTTTCACCTGTGCAGTTTCACCACTTAAAGAGCATAGACCAAGGGACAAACTCTATTGGCCACGGAGAAGAGGCAACAGAAACCATCTCATTGCTTCTGAATGGTATTTGTTCTGTAGAGGCAACAGAAATAGAAATAGTTTGAAGCATGTTTGAGTCATAGAAATAAATAGATGCAGTTCTGATACACTGGGAATATGTATGTGAAATTAGAAGGTGCACTTTTATGTAGTCACTTTTGAGAGCAGAATAGCACTCAACTATAAAAACCCTTTCCTGACAGTCAGATGAAAGAGACTGTGGAACAGCCCCACAGAGGGAGGGTGTGCCAGCTCCATCTCTGGGGAATTCTAAAAGTAAGCAGTAAAACTGACAAGTAAACATGCTAGAGAGAGCTTTTTTTAATTATTTTTTTATATTGGCCCCATGAGAAGGATTGGATGATGCATTAGATCTTTTCCATCTCTGACTTCTGTATGGTCTTTTACTACTGTATAAGAGCTCTCAAAACAGTATAAAATCAAGAACAGAGAATTCTTGTAGCATTCTAATCTAGTTCTGAATGCCCTGAATTTTCTCAGTTTGGATAGTATTCAAACGTAGCTGATGGATTGTTTCAGTATTCATTAATTGCAAATCTGTGTTTGTTAAAATACAGAAAGGTGTATTTATTCCAGGTAGAATAAAAAATGCTTCCTGTTGTTACTCCTCCAGCTTTTGGTGACCATATAGAGTGAAAACATGACATGTGCATGCCCAAGTAAAACGTTACTTTAAAAGTCTCAGTTAAAACCATTCAGTGGTTTCCCAAGCAATTAAAGAAGAAAACTGCGATTTTACCCATCTTTAAAACATTTTTTACATTCATTTACTTGGAAAGTCTAATTCCTATAGGCTTTAGAATGGAAATTTGATGTTTGGTACCTGAAAAAACTTTGTTTTTAGCCAACCAGTGAAAATTGACCAAGCATTCATCACCATAGCCCAAAATAGCTTTCTTGCCTTTCTCCTGAATTGTCATCCTCTCAATGACAGAGATGAATTCTGAAGGGAGGATGAAGTAGGATGAAGCAGGAGTTGAGATGGGAGTGGAGATAAGGGTGGACGGGTAGAAACTGAGAACAGAACCTGGGAAAAGGAGGGAAATAATAACAGGCAGGGCTGAACAAAGCTTTTTTTTTTTCTTCTTCTGTCTTGAAGTTGGCTGTGAACTACTTGGTGATTCTCCCTCACACAATAGCATATTCACCTGGAAGACAGCAATTGCCTTTTATAGTCTATTACTCAGCAGAAAGAATAATGCAAAACTGTTTTCTGTCTAAAAGTCTCTATTCTAGCAATGGTTCAAGCCTGTGGTCACAACATGCCTTTTTATTAATGAATTAATAAATGTTACAGTTGAGCAGGGCATTGGAGAACATTCAGACTACAAAGTCAAGCTCATAAACGTTAGGGAATGCCTAGATTATTATTGCTTGTGTTAAGTTAGTTCACTTACAACATGCATACCTATTATGATAATCTTTATTAATGTGGTCTTGCACAATTCTTGTTTCAGAATATTTAGCCATGTTATTCCATTGAAACGTACATATACATGTCCATATTCAAACACATGGTCTACACACACATACAGTGGATTTGATATCGTACTGTTCTGTTGTATTGCCAAAAGCCAGGCCTTATTGCTCTAGATACTGTATAAAAATAAAGGAAATTGTTAGCTGTTCAGAAAGCTTTCATTTGCTTTTCCATTATCTTGGTAGAGAGGAAATGAAGTGAATAGTGACCTTAAATCACCTTTTATATTCACACAGTTTTGAAATTATTCTTTGGTGTCTTTTGCCTATAACATATGTTAGAGCATCGTCAGCGAGCTCTGCTCTAACATAAGTTGGCTGCATACAGCCTTCAGGAAGCAGGGCCAGAAGCTGAGATTAGTGGGGTGCATGTCACAACATCAAATCCAACTCCCTTCATGCATATATTATTAACTGTCTTTAAAACCTGGGATGTTTCTTTGGAATGGAGCATTGGCTGGGATTTTTTTTTTTTTAATGTCCAGTTACTAATTTTGAGGAAGTACCAGGAAATTTGCATTACTGTTTTGATGAACCAAAATAGGATTATGGATTTTGTGCATGTGTGCTGCCATTCTGATGCATTCAGAAACACTGCACACCGACCAGTGTATCGCTTCTGGTTTTATGATGTTCTGTTGAATTTAGAAGGCTTTGGGCCTAAATTTCTTCATGTCACCTCTTCAAGAAGCAAGAAAATGCATCTCTTGTGTAGGCCTCTTTCTGCAAGATATTAGATGTATCAGTTTGGGTTTTTTAACAGCACTAGTTAGGCACCTAAGCTAGGTACCAAATGCCGTTTGTAATCAGTGGCAGCCAAAGGCATCTTAACAACACATATAATTCTCTAGAATGTTAATTTTCTTCTAAAATGTGAGAATTTTCCTTAGATTGCAGAGGATTCTGGTTTAGCTTCTCTGGCACCTGCTGCCTGCCTTCCTTTCCTTACTTGTGTTTGCAGAATGCATAATGGAGGAAAAGAAGCTCTTCCCAGCCTGGTTACGCAGATCAGTTCAGAGGAGGGATGAAATGTCACTCATTTCTTTCTTCTGCTAACACCGAAGAGCTCTGTGGTGTTAAAGTATGAAATAATACCATAACCCAGCTGCCAGTGATCCTTGGGAATTACAGAACCAAAAAACGGCACTGATAATTCACTGAAGGTTGATCTTTTAGAAAACACAGCATCAGTGCTAACCTTGGGAATTAAGAGAAGCATAGCATTCCCTTCAAAGAAAGGCCTCATCAGCAACAGAGTCTGGAAGTAGGAGCCTTAGCAGATTGCCTGTGTCTCGTTCTTATAGTATGTTTAATATTTTATCCGTAGTAGAGGTGAGCATCATTTTTCTTGTCTGGCAACTTAATGTGTAAGTGCATGGCCAAGTCTGGTATCATTCCAAGATAATGGAACTTACACGCTTGAAAAGACTGTACAGCTCAAAATGAAGCATTGCATGCACTGATAATGCCTATATTCAGAGGGAGAGTATGTATACGGTTAGACTCAGCACACACATTCTAAGATTACTGTCTTGAGGATGTTGTGTGTGTGAAGCTTTTGACTAAAGTCAGTGAGAAGTGCATATTTCAGACTCCAGACAGGGCCTAGAATATGTCAAGTTGTCAGAACAAGCCACAAGTGAGAAGGAAGAGAGTTCAGATGCCCCTTTCCTATTCTATGGGTACTAACCTATTTTTCTTCCATGCTTCTTTGTACTTTTATCCAAAGAACAAAGTGAAAACAAACATGACCACAACTACCAACCCAAGCATAAGATGGGAGTAACAGGAGGAGAGAGAGAGAGAGAAGTGACAAAAAATTAGACCTTTCTTTCTGGGGAGTTGATGCCTGTAGAAAAGAAATATCTCTGATAGTGATACAGTAGTAAGTCAGACTAGATTTTGCCAAGAGATGTTAGTAATGTTTTCAACTCTTTCTGAAAAAGAAAACTCCTAGAAAATCTCTCTTGGGTATTCCTTCATCTTGGCTCTCATAGCCTATGTTAGTGATGAAATATAAGCCACTGCCTATAGAAAATGAGAAAACTTTGAGTCATAGCTTTTTTGGTGCAACTCGAGATAGCCTCTGTGAAGTAAAAAGAATTGTCTCCAGAGTGTAATTCATTTTGTTCTTTTTCATTTACAAGCAGAGCACCTTTTCCTTCTACTTTCATTTTTAAAGGTGACCTGAATATTTGACAGTGTTCTTTTAAGTCACTCCATTGGGGTTTCTTACATACAATTACTGGCAAGAGACCGCCTCATCAGCATTCCCAAACTGGAGATGTGCTTACATCCAGAAATGAGAAGGGTTAAGAAAGTGGGTAGCTCATCATTTTGGGCAAAAACAAGCCTAAAATGGGGGAGGGGGAATCTAAAAAAGATAGGCCATGGGTTACTATGTGTTAAGAGAATCTATGGTGATAAGTGTTTGCTATAATATCTTACATTGGGAAGGCACTGTTTGGGATGACTGTGTTTCTGATATTCTGCCTGATTTTCCTGATTCACCTCCTATAAAGGACTTGATCATTTGGAATCCCCTTAGAAATAGCTGTGTTGTAAACTTTGCATTTAACAAGGATGTAGATGTCAAAGGTCAAAATTCACTTTTTGCCTTCTCCCTCTCTTTTTCTGACCCTCACCCCTTCCCCTCGATTTTTATAGGGCGATATCCATGAGGATTTTTGCAGTGTTTGCAGAAAAAGTGGACAGTTGCTGATGTGTGACACATGTTCACGTGTTTATCACCTGGACTGTCTGGATCCGCCTCTGAAAACCATTCCCAAGGGCATGTGGATCTGTCCCAAATGTCAAGACCAGGTATTGTTTAACAGACAGAGTTATACACAATGCACTGTAAAGATTTTTCCAAGTTAAAGAAAACAACCATATCACTTGGCTTACTTACATCAAGACAGACTGACACGGAATCAATCTATCTGATCTGCAATAAGGGTTGTGTAAATTTGATCTAATTACCTGTGTCTTACTCCTGGACTTGGAGTCCTTATTTGTTACCTATGTGTTTTTAGTCTTTGGTTGGGCCAAAGCACACAGACTTTCGGGAAAGGTTCTCTATTACCCATAGAAATGTTCCTGTTCATCTGAGCTCGTTTCTTCAAAAGTCACTGGTATGTTCTTTTGGATAAATATATAAAATGTTTGTACAATCTTGCCTCAATAGATTGAGAAAATATAAACCTCTCTTTTCTTATATAAATCAGGCATCAGAGACTTTGTCTTCAGTGATCTCTCTAATAATACTGTCAAGTATAAGCATAATGAGGATGGGCAAATACCTCGGTTCTTCTTTATTCCAGATGCCACTGTAAAAGTACACAACTGAAGTGAACAGATGATATGTTAATATTTTGTTTATAATTGCATTGAAATGACAAGACAAAGAAGTAAACCAGGGTATTCATAACCCTTATGCGGTACTTCAGAAGTTGCAAAGGATTGCTGTTAATCAGCAGCCTGAAGCTGTTAGCGTTCCGTCTGGTTTAGCATATTGCTTAGTCACTCACATGGCCAGATGGTAAGGTAAGAATACAACCTGGTATATTATGTGCTGCTCAGAGCAACAGAAATGCAAAATTCAAGTAACTTGGTCAGCAATTGCAAATGAAGAGGGAGTATTACCACTTTTCTATTCCCACTCTTGTGAACTATCACATATCCTTCCTCTTTGTATTTCTGTAATACATTCCCACAGAATGCTGGGAAATATCTGAGTTATTTTGCTGAAAAGTGACCAAGTCCTCTATCTCCTGAGACATCCCTCTGCTTCACTTATTAAAAAGACACAGTACATTTTTCTTCTCAAATTAAAGCTCCTTAAGAAGGAATATGTGAGGAAGGCACTTAAATGCATAAATGGTTCTTATCCTTATATAAAGAGGGCTTGATGATTCTATTAAGACGATTCTGATATGAAGGGCATATAGGACAGTTTGATGTGTTATTAGCCCAGAAGTGTGTTGTTTAAATGTACGGTATGGAAGCTGCTCTGTGACATGAAAAGTTTTCTCTCAGAACAACTGAGATCAGCAATTTGTCCAAACCATGCAATAATGTTTATGTCTCCTGGCAAGTTTCAGTTCAGATGCATTATCTTTTCATTCCTCTTTTAAGTTGTTCTGTTTCATTAGTTGAGTTTATTTGTGGCTATGGAGGGAATTTGAGAATATGCTGACATTTGTAAGAAACAGGCCTCCTTTGTGGGAGCTACAATAAGTTGTGAATAATTCCCTCTGTTAAATCTCAGAACAAGTCTGCAGAGCTTCATGTTAACAGGGCTCAGATTAATGATAGCCACAGAGAAAATCCATTGTTTTTCCCTTTCTTCTTTTCCTTTTCTTAGGGATAGATTGTTTACCAGCTAAATCTCTACACACTTTTCTTTCAGATGTTAAAGAAAGAAGAAGCAATCCCATGGCCAGGAACTTTAGCAATTGTTCATTCATATATTGCATATAAAGCAGGTAGGAAAATGGGGAGCAATGTTGTTTTTTTTTTCAGTTTTAAAACTGGAAAATGTTATTGAGGGAGTGGGACAGCATGATACTTCCTTTACAAAAGGAAATTGAAGAGGAAGAACTTAATCATTAGTGAAGTGATAATGGTAGTCTACACTTGTAAGCTTTTTGTGATACTTGTATGTGCAGGTGAAATTTTGGTTGTGATTTATTGCAAAAGTGGTTGCATTTACTTCAATAATACTCTCTAAATGAAACGGTTTAGAGCTTGTATCCGCAGTGTTAACAGGAAGACTTTAAATATTACTTCTTGAGATGATTAATATTCTGTTTTGCAGCAAAAGAAGAAGAAAAACAGAAACTACTTAAATGGAGTTCAGATTTAAAACAGGAAAGAGAACAACTAGAGCAGAAGGTCAAACAGCTCAGCAATTCTATAACGGTGAGTATCACCCTCCCAGATAAATCTGCACCTGTGTTCTGGTGTCAGAATGCAGATAGAAAACTGCAGAGCCCATGTACTAGACTTATCTTCCACTGGTTTTACTGAGGATTGAATGTGCTTTTTTAGGACTCTGCTTTTTTAGGACTCCTCTTTTTTAGGACTTTTGGGATCAGGAATGAAATACAAGCGACATATACTTTGAGACACTTGTACATGATCCCTCCTGACCATATACTGTAGACATGCAATGACCTATAATATCAGCAGGTGACAAACATGACCCACAGCAACACTGTCTGTGGGCAGCAGATAAATTCTAATTCTCTAGTGCCTCACTTAAGTTTGAATGATTGGGCCGCTGTGTGTAGTAAGAGTTACTTGGTGCTCTCTTCAGACATTGCTAATACAAAAGTTACCATTTTCTCACAACTGTCTCTTGGGTTCTTGACATGCTGGCTAGACAGTCAGCAAGCCTCCGCATATTACTAATTGAACAGTGTCATGCTTCTGACCAGAAGCAGTAGTGTTCTCCTAAATTTATGATGGTAACTGTGCCATACATATTAATTTGCTCTTAATATGCAAATTGGGCTCTTGAGTTGCCAGTGCAAAGTTTGAGCCCCTCAGTTAGCATGGCCTACGTCAGTATCACAAAATGAAAAATATTAAAATCTATGTGGCAGCTTTGTAAAGCTGGGTACGTAAGTATAGATTTGGAGTTTTTTTCCAATGTAGATGCACTGTCTGGTCTGTGTGTCTTTACCTCTTAGAAGAAAAGTAAACATCCCATGTTTAAAGACCTCTAAATGCTGATGATACAATTAAAACAATTGTGAGCAAGTGGTAAGAGGTGCTGGCTGGCAGTTCTGGAGTCTGTCATCTTCTGGTTAGCAGTAGCTGGACATAAACTGAGCAGCACTGGCGCTGTTTCTCAGTCATATACACAGAGGCAGAAGCAAGCTTTAACAAGGATTGATAGTAGGTAAGAAGAATGGTGTCTTTTCCATGATCAAGCCATTGTTTACACTTTAATTCGAACCATCAAACAAAGACACATTAGATCTAAGTTTTGTAATGTTATTGTGATGCCAAGAGCTGCATGTGAAAATAGTAAAGCTGAAAATAACAGTGTCTGGAGATCAGTGTGAATAAAAGACTTGAAAAATATGAGAAGATTGCCATCTCTGTGTAAGATCCTGAAAGTTATAGGTGCAAAATAGCTACCATCTCCTTCTTTCTGAGGGTTTCAAATATAGATATAAGCAGTTTTTCACTCTTGAAACGTCATTTGTGGACATTCATTTAAGCTATTGTACTCTGACTTATCTTATGAGCTACCTAGGTTACTACTGCTTCCAAGAGAATTAAGTGGCCACAAAATAAGATTTTCAAGTGAAGAAGGGCTTGTTTTTCATTTCAAGTGCCCCTTTATTTAGTAAGAAGAGGAAATGATGTTCCTGTTAAAAGTGTATGTAAAAGCAAGGACTGTATCCCATTAATGGCATGCACACATGCAGTCAGCAGTCAGCTGTGATAGGATGTCTGAGTTTGCATATCTGAGCTAAAGAAATTTCAGCAATGCAGTGCTGACAGAAAAATAATAACACATACTTGGAAGCTTCCCTTCAAAAGGAACCCAAAAGGATGGAGCTGTCTGTGTTGGTTTGCCAGGCACCTTGGGATTAAAGGACCTTACTGGGGGGCAGCTATGTACAGTTTAGTTCCTCAGCTTGCAAATATGAATTCCATGAATGCAGCTCTGAGCTTTCTTTTCTTCTAGTCTGAAATTAGGTGATGTTACAGCTGCAGTCTTTTCTGAGTACTTACATTTAGATCTGCAAATGCTGAATTCCCTCTCTTGCCTTCTTCCATTCATTCAAGGATAAAGCTTGAACTTAGTATTGCTTTTCTGTTTTGCTGCAGAAATGCATGGAAATGAAGAATACCATCCTTGCAAAACAGAAGGAGATGCACAGCTCCTTGGAGAAGGTAAAACAGCTGATCCGCCTCATCCAAGGCATCGACCTTTCAAAACCCATAAACTCTGAGGTCAATTCAGTAGCCATCTCCAATGGCATGGACTCCACTAACAATACTAATGCTGCCACCTCCACCTTAGCCCCCTCCCCTTCCCAGAGCTGCATGGTGAACTGTAACAAGGGCGATGAGACTAAATAACACAGTGAAGTTCAGAAGGAGCCAAGGGAGGTGGCGGCGAGGAGGAGAAGCAAAATAACAAAACTCTAGAAAAGCAAAACCGGATTTCTTCTGGAAAGTGCAGAATTCTTTAGTTCTTTGGTTCCAGAGAGAGCGTGAAGATGCTTGTGCCAGGCGGCACCGGAGTTTGCCAATTGATCCTTCTTATTCTGTGTGTACATGCAAAGTTTGGATCATGATACATGAATAGTGCCAGCTGGGGGTTCTTTGCCAGCACCATGCCAAGTGAAATAATATATTTACTCTCTCTATATTTTACACCAGTGTGTGCCTGCAGCAGCCTCCACAGCCACTATAGGTTTGTTTTATTTTTGTTTGGGGTGAGGAGCAGGGATAAGGGAGGAGAGCAGGTTTCAAATCCTTATTTGCAGAACAGTTTGTTTAGCTAGGGGAAAACAAAAACAAGTCCAAAGAGCCTGTGGGCTTTTCCTGTTTCTAAACTCTCAGTACTATTAAACCAAAAAAACCACAGAAATATAAATTATCAAATCCCAGTGCCCAGAAGGGACAAGTCTATCAAATAAGCAGTATTTACTATTGTTTAGACAGGAGATGTACAAAAGGAAAGGAGATGGACTTTTCACTGAGTAACCAGCACATGTACAGGCTGAAGATCTACTGTCCCAACAGCTTTGGGTTAAATCGTACTTCTTCACATCAGAGAAATACATGCTTTGCAGAACTGATTCAAATCTTCACACTCATCCAGAAAGCCTATGTTGGGAATGGGAGAATAGAGGGCCAGAATCCAGGGTCAGCTTGGAGTGTTGGATGGAGGTGTCCCAAGAGAAAATGTGCATCGATTACTTGAAAATGAGATTCCAACCCTTTTCTATATTTATAAACAACAAAACTGTCCTGAACAAAGTAGCACATGACCCAGATGTGTGAACTGAACAGAGAAATGTCCTTTTCTTTCACTTCTTTTCTCTTCTTTTGGTAACAAGAACTAAATAAGGAATAGAAAAGCTGTTTTTCAGGCTGACAGTCTAATTAAAGAGGTAGATGGGACCTTGCATGGTATAGATTAGAAGTAATAGTGTCAGTGAGATACAGTGAGTCTTTGTGAGTCCTTGTGTCATCGTTTTGGGCACTGTTTTTTTATGCAAGGGCAAAATCTTTGTATCTGGGGGTAAAAAAACAACTTTTTTAAATTAAAAAGGAAAATAAAAGATATTGAGGTCTTCCTAGTGTTACTTAAAATAAGATCAAGGTAAGAAACATTGTAAAAAAAAAAAAAAATTACAAAAGTGCTATTTGTTTCCTAAACAAGTGATTTCTATTAAAAAGGTGTCAGAACTGGAGAAAATGCTGTGTACTTAGAATTTTTTAACACAGACTTTGCTTATTTATGATGACATTCTGCTGTGTTTGTGTTTAAAGATCCAACGGGACAGTTTCCCTAGATTATACCATACATGCTACTGGCTAAACCCTAAAGAGAATCAAATCCACAGCGCTGGATCTCACCCCACCTGGAGGATCTGCCTAGCTTGTCTCTGCTGTTACCGTATCTTCCCCTTTCCTTGATGTGTGTGTAGCCCAGAGAAAAGCACTGGCAGTCTACTTGCTTAAGGCTTTAATGCTTTTGTGATATGGACTGATTAGAGCTTGAGAATGAGAGAGCGTTTGTTGGGCTGAAGTCGCCTTTCATTATATCCTTCATTTAAGAAGTTCATCTCTTGCACATAGCCTTTTCACTATTGGTAGCAAAGCTTTCCTTGTGCTCCTGTTATGGTGGGGTCTGTCCCAGCGTAGAGTACTGACTCGTGTCACTTAGGGCTATGTCACAGAGCTGCCCACTTTCACTGCTGCATGGAAATATTTGGGCAAACTCTAGTTCCACTGGAAGTGCTGGCAAAACTCCCGTTACTCCCAGTGGGAGCAGAGCTGAGCTTCTCCCCAGGCAGCACGAGGCCAGGTCCCTGCTGTGGTGCCCTCCAGTGTGGGCATTGGGCAGTCCTGCCCACCCACTGATCCTTCTGGAACAGAGAAAGCCTTGCATTTCAGGACTGCATTTCTGAGAAAGAAGTAGCGAATGCTCCAAACACTACATAGCCTGAAAGAGTCTCCTTGCTGCCACAGCCAAGCATGCTTCTGCAGGATTCTTGGCGCTGCTGTCTTCCCCTTCCTTTGCTCACCCTCCTGACCTTTAAGGACTTCTCCTAGGACTGTGTGCTATTTTCAGAACTGAGCTCAGAACTGATATCCTGAGTTCTCATGTTTGTCCGTAGCTTGGGAAAATGACTCTTACGTGCACGTCCCAGCTAAACCTGTGATAACCTCAACTCATGGTTTGGATATTTGCTAGCAGAGCTGTAGGATCAAACCGATCGAACTAAAAATGTCCTACTTGCATCAACCCAATTACTAATTGAAGTCATTACCATTGAGCAGCCTGGCCAGGTTCTTCTCTAGTTGGTTGCTTGGGTAACTCCCCTTCTTCTGAACCATGAAGTACATTCCCAGTTAAGAGACAGTATCTTCATGTTCTCATGTTCTTCTTTCTGGTGTTATTTTCTGAGCTCTGCTGGGAGCACTGCACTCCTTGGATGCAGTAAGCTGCTGGAAGACTTGAGAGTCCTTCTGTTTGCTTTGCTGGTTCAGGAAGGGATGGGAATGAAATTCACTGGTAGCTGCATTTAAATCTGAGCATAGTTACCCAGCCAGGAGATGTTAAAACAGCTGTTACTGCTTTTTCAAGGCATCTGCTTGTCTTTAGAAACTGAGTAGCTGAGTACAGACTTTTGTCTCCTTTTCTTACAGCGTTATGTTCCAGACTGTCAAAGGACACCTTTAGTTAATCATTGCCTGGCAGAGAAATGACCTCAACTTAGACTTCTCAGTGCTGCTGGGTAGTTTTTGCTCCCTGATCCTGTTTGAGCGCTTTCCTTCCTGGCTCTGCAGCAATATCAGTCAACAGGCAAAGATCATTCCCAGGGCTTGCTGACACTGGCAACGATGTTGGTACATAGGCATGAGTAAATTTCTGCCCAATTAGCATCAATGAGGTAGAAGGGGAAATGGTGTTTGCTAAATACAGAGGGAAAGATTGTTCTGTTTTCTGCCTGCTCTCAGAGTTTCCAATGAATGGCAAAATTCGAAGTTTCTGACAAGTTTAAGATTTTCTTTTTGATTTGTTGGGTTTTTTTTTTTTTTTTTTTTTTCTCATGTAGCATTTGAGACAGGCTGAGTTGGTATTAGAACTTCTCTTCAAGAAACTGTCATAATGACTGGCATTTTGTATTTCCAAACCACCATAAAGGTAACAACTAATTCTTATGTCATCGCTTGCCATTAGTGGGAAATAAGTGGCTTTTAAATCTCACTCGTAAAGGAGGAGAAGATGAGACCACAGAGGAAGCTCCTATCAGAGATGTTCCTGGCGCTCAGCCCAGTGCTAAGGGCTTTCAGAAGTCATCCTGCTGCTTTAACTGCTCAGAAATAGAATAAGAATTGCAGAAACAGTTTTTCCCTTCTCCTTGCAATCTGTTCTTTAAACAGCTGGAAAAGTATGGTGTGGTCAAAGCCTGAAAACGAGCATGTGATCTGGCCAGAAGAATTAGTGCTACCATTAGGATCCTCTTTATCTTTGCACAGCGGAACTTTTAGCGCTGTACAAAATGCGATGAAGGCAATCCTTCCAGGGATGAGTGGTGCAGATGGTTCTTCATTAGCCAAGACTTACCATGGCAGTAGGAGGAACCAGTAGATTGCATGAACAGAATAAGGATTTTGTCCTTTGAACAAGTAACTTTCTGTCAGTGGGGTTATGAGCTAAAAGGCACCTGCCTAGAAATTAAAGAGGTGAGAATTTTACGGGCACAGTGTTGGTTGTTTTGATGGCAGAAAAAAATGACCCGGTGTTTTATCCCTCCCAACAGACCAGGCTTGAGAGAGCAAATCTGTATTCCAGCTGTCTAGGTGTATAGACCGTAATTCTGGCCTCCTTGGCTTCAAAATCATCTTCTTCCCTGGACGGATGCAGAGGCAGCCCCAAAAAGCAATATGGTCAACATTGAAGTCTCCCTCTTGGTCACACCATGCTGTGGCAACCCACAATACAGGGAGTAAACTCTGACATCTCCTTCTCATGTGGATGCAGTGGAAAATACCTGCGACTTTGCAGTGCACATTTCTCTTTCCTTTTGTTTCCCGGCTGAGTAGGGCCCCTGCCCTCTTTGCTTCTGAAGCACTGGTGACGAATATATGTTTTTTTAATGAAATGTGTTTTTAGAAGATCATATTCAGATGTCAAACCAAATTCACTCTTTCACTGGGGGCTTCCCTCTGCCAGCTGCTCAGATAACAATTCAAATACTGATATTACACTTCATGGTGGACCATGCCCCTTTGGGCAGACTTTGTCGTGTCTTTTCAGAACCGTTCTGACCCTTCTTCACCTCCATTTTGTCCTCCTTCGGGATTCTGAAGATCCAGGGCAAGGTCAGCCTTGCTGGGTTACTGCAGAGAGTTTTCTGACAGACACAGTTGTAGAAACTCTGCTGAAGAGTCAGGAACCTGGAGAAAGACAACGCCACTGTGTCGTGCAGCTGATTCATTTGGCACTGAGGCTTGCCTGGCCAACAAACTACCTCAGCAAAGGCCATTCCCAAGCACCATGTGGATTCTGTAGTTTCCATCATTCAGAAGGCAAAATGTCTCCAAAGAAGCCTTGCAAGCAGCCAGCTAGGTGCCGGCCTCTGAATGCGTGCGAGCGAGCCTTATAGCAGCACGTTATCAAACATTCGCTTTCATTGATCAGACCTGGGCCAGGGAATGCCCTAAAAATCAGGGGGATCAGGAAAACACAAGAGCTGCAGACGTCTTGTCTCCAGGTTATGCCGTCTTACTCAGATCCTTCTTTGAGCCTCAGTCTTGTTTGTAACACCTACAGAATGGAATGTAATACTTGAAAATATGACTCTCATTATCTTTTACCTTTAGCTCCCATTTCCCAATGTTTATCTTTCATCTGGGACAAGAACTTTCTGCATCATTGTGTCTTGTATAGGCTGAGCACATAGTTGAAACTTGCCAATAAAGAGAATTATTTATACCATGCGCTGGTAAGCTTGGTAATTACAAAGCCATGAAAACCCAACATCTGCTGGCTGTTGATTTAAGAGGTGGCCTTGTTTCAGAAGACCAAGACCTTACCTGTGTGAGGGTCTGCCAGCATCCTGCCAGTGTGACACAGCTATGTGAGGAGCACGCAGAGAACAGCCCAGCCAAGGGCCTCTGTGCTGGGGCAGTGGCTATCCTGGAGATCACTGCACGAGGATGGGGTGTCTGGGGCCTCTCCTTACCCTGTGCCAGCAGTGGGTGTCGCAGGGATCAGAGAATGGGTCTGGAGACAGAGGGAAGTATGAGTGGAGGAAGGAGGAGCTGAGAGGAAGGGGTACACAGGGTAAGGGAGAGCAGAGAGAAGACATGGGAACACGTGAGAAACAGGGAAGGTGAAGGCAGGAAAGATCCAGGAGTGAAAGCTGCAGCTACAAGGTTCGTGAGCTCAATGGAAGGACTGGAACAAAAGAGCTCTTTGTCCTACCTTATGTCCTGTGGTGTGGGCTGATCTGTACTCTACAAAGACAAAGTGCAGTGGGAGAAGAGTTTTTAGGCTGCAGATGGAGAAAGAAACAGGGACCACACCACCTCTGCTTCTGCTGCCATTCTGCACCCAATTTCCTTATATACCCCTGTGGAGGGGCGGTCCAGCAGTGTGGTGAGATGTACCAGCTGTAAGGCAACTGCAAGGGCTGAGCCTGGAGAGCTGCTTGCAGGCAGGTTGCAGGATGGCAGCAGGTTCTAGTGCTGTTCTTCACCATCATACCCAAACAGCCTAGAAACTCAGTCCAACCCACGCATAAGGACAAAGAAGGCCTAAAGAACCTATTTGCTCAGTGACAGGAGCTCCTAGGCAACTGAGAAGCTTGCTAAGCTCTGGCCTTGAGAGAGAGATGGCAGGGAAAGCCAGCAGCAGGGAGCAGCATGAACTATCAGGCTGTGGCAGTTTGCAGCTTTTATCTTACTCCTGAACCTACAGCAGGACGCACAGAACCCAACCCTTGTGTTGCCTGCCTTCTCCCTTCTGTCACTGGGATAGAAATGGTGTTGCCCACGCTTTGGGAGAGCCCTTCTGGGTGCCACCAGGGAACAAAACACCACATTGGCAGGTCTCACCCCAACAGACAGCCTCAGGTTTGGGCCTGAGCGTCTCCTCAGTGTCGGGAGGAAGAGGCTGTGCCTCCATGAGCCAGGGCATGCCAAGAGGGAGGAAGGGGAGCATTTACTTACAAGAAGGCAAGGACCCCTCCATGCCTCATTTTCCCAGCTGTGCAATAGCTGATGGCCACGTCCAGCACCGCTTCTCTCAGGGTGCCGGTGCTGAGAGCAGGCAGTGCTGAATAGGGGCGGTATCAGCAGCAGGCTGCGTGTTTCTGCTTGTTCTAGGATGATGCGCAACTTCTAATCATAGTCTCATGTAATTCTTTCCTTTAATTACCACTGGTATCAAAGCAGTGGCTGCCTCTAGAGCCGGGAGCAGTGCCTCACCCATCAGCCCTCCTTCCATCTGGCACGCTGCCCGAGTCGCTGCTGTGATTGCAGCCAGGGCTTCCTCCGAGGGCTCTGCTCCACACCGGCCCCAGGCTCAGCCCCAGGACCATGAGCTGCCAGCTCAGCCACGGCTTCAGGGCACTGCCCCAGGTGCAGAACCCTGCTGCACCACTCCAGCCCTGCTCTGTGGCCCTTCAGCCACTGCTTCCACCAAACTCGCCAGGGCTGGGAGCAGCCCCCTGGCAGGCTCCTGTCACTGCAGACCTCCTGTGCAGCACCCTGAGCAGTGCCCGATGTTCTCACAGCACCGCACATGAGAGCACCCACACAGGAGCTGGATGGCAATTTTTAAATATCTTTTTTTTTTTTTTTTTTAATCCTGACGCTGATAGTGACCTGCAGGCTCTTTGCTGCCTTCAGGTCCCTGCTGGTTTCAGTTTTGGTACAAATGTGTTTAGATTTTAGCAAATTAAACTGGGAAGGGGTGGGGGGATGGGGGTACAGAGCACCTGATCGATTTGTATTTATTTATTTTAACACTTTACTAAATAAAGCACAACAAACTCTCTCGTCTCCTCAGCTGTGTCTCCAGGAGGGGCTCAAGGCCCACTCCAGCCCTGCCCTGCACCTCCTCACACAGGGGCTGTGCTGGGGAAGAACCACTCTGGCCCCTCTACGTAGGGTTCCTCTGGCTGCTGCACGCCAGTACATGGAGATCGAAGCCCCTGTTGCTTCTGGGAACCCAAACTTACTGGCTAAGGGCTGGCTGTGTCAACCCTGCAAGGCCCACAGCAGAGCTAACCACAGGGCTGGCACAGAAAGCCACAGCTGCTCCTTCCCATGGCTCCCAGGGGCAGGAGAGAGCAGGCCGAGCAGGACAGGTAAGGTGCTGTCTGGATCTGATCTGAACCTGTACTGCTGCTTCAGGCTGGTGATAACAGAAAGCTCTGGCATTATAAACAAATGCTGTCTGCTATGGGACATACTGATGCAGTCATGCCTTTTGCTGCACTAATGACAAGCAATGGCCTTCCAGCCTGTTCCCAAAGCCAACAACTTGCTCCCAGCCTGCTGCCACCCCATCCAGCCCTGCAGAGGCTGGGCTTCCTGTTCCAGGCCCAGGAGCCAAGTCCTTACCGCAGGCTGTGCTCCCACCAGCACCGCGAAGCCAGAGCTCTTTGTTGAGGTCCCAGTGCCCATCCAGGACTCAGCCATGTGCTGCAGGGAGCGCACAGCCATGCTATGAAGCCACAGACCAGCCCACGATTTGGCTGCACCATCATGGAGGCTGCCAGCCCACAGCAGTATCCACCACCAGCCCATGTCAGGGCTCACCCACTGAGCAGTGACACCAAGATGACTTCCACCAGCCTGCTCCCTCGTGCTTGTGCAGGCTCACTGCAGAAAGCATTAATAACCACGTAGTTCTAACAAGGATATGAAAAAGAATAAAAAAGCTTTAATTTAAAAGTTAAATTAAAAAGAGAGAATAAGCAAGAGGCGCTTGTGCCCTTTCCAGACAATTTGTATGGCTCCTCCTGGCCGTTCCCACCACGGACGGAAATCTTCACACCTGCACAGCTCTAGCTCTTGCAGACCAGAATAATGCTAAGAGAACAGCATAGGTTGCAGCAGCCCCAGGCCTGGAGCTGCTCCAGTGCCAGCAGCAAAATCATCCAGGTGCAAGAAAGGCTTAAAAAAAAAAAACCAAAAAACCACCATGATACCCTAACCACTGAATTTTTATGAGAAAAGTATAAATAATTTAAATAGCATGAGGAAAGCAACACATCCTCTGTGCTCCAGTGTGTGACAGCTGCAGAGCAGAGCCAGCCACGCTGCTCCCACTGCAGGGACCACAGTACTCAGCTACAGCCTCCCTGGGGTCAGTCCCACCATCCCTGATTGCTGGTGGCAGCCCCGGCACTGCCAGAAGTCAGGGAGGCACTGGGGGTCCCTGCCATGAATTCTTCCACAGGAGCACAGACCCCCTGTGAAGCTATCCCACCCACTACAACGGCAGAAGGATTGTACCAAGCACCAGACTGCTTTCACTTATAGCTGGGCCATCCCAGGAGAGACTCTGCATCCACGTGGATGGGGAGCCAGCCTTGGTCCAGGGTTAAGCCAGGACTCCACAGCTCCTAGTGATCTCTGGCCTCAGCTCCTAGAGCATCAGGAGGCCTCTTCTGAGGCCTTGCTCCACAAATGATGCAAGAGGATGGTCCACATAGCCATCTCCACTCGCCAAGGCTCCAGGGATGTGCAGAGGATTGCAAACTGGGACTGCAGAGAGGAGCAGAGCAGGGAAAAGTGCAGCTCTAGGGCCTCTCGAGGCCAGGCCCCAGGCTGAGGTGAGCTAACAAAGGCTTTGAATTGATATCTGCTAGAACTAGGGATGGGAAGACCAGTCCCCTGGCACAGTGGAAGCTCCCCTGAAACACAGGAATGATCTGAACAAACCCTGGGCCACAATGCAGCAGCTCAACTCACAGACGCTGCCTGATCTCACAGCTGGCATCCTCCCTCTTATCTACAGACATCCCATTGCGAGTCAGATCCCTTGGGCAAGGCTACGAGATGAGCTGGGGCAGGAGGAGGCCCTGCACCCTCCCTTCTCTGCCTGCTACCAGCACCCTGCACCCACTGTCCCCAGGTGTCATAGGTTCCTCTCGGCGGTGAGGTATTTGAGTGCAGCAGCCCCGTATCTCCGCGACAGGTCCTGGTGGAATTCCTCCCGCAGCGTTTGTAGGCAGCCCCGGTACCCAGCGTTCAGGCGAAACTTGGAGATGTCGAAGCTGGGAGCGTGGGGCATGTGGATCATGAAGGCATTGGGCAGTACCAGCAGCTCGTACTCCTGGGGACAGAGTGGCAACTGTCACCATCAGCACCGCTACCAACACCTCACTGCCCGGCCGTGGCCCCGGCACCCACCTGCGCATCCAGCTCCATGATGTGGGACACCTTGTTCCAGCCGAAGCCCACGAACCGCTGATCGTACTTTGGGCAGTCTCGCCTCACTACAACGTAAGGCTCAAAGTCTGGCTGCCACGCCACATGGTACGGTACAGTGGCTGTTCGCCACTTGGCATAGTCAGTTGGGGCATGGCCTTTTGGCCACACGTGGTACCTGTGAGGAGAGATGGAAGTGAGACACCAGGAAAAGTGGCCGCACTGTGGCCCCAAGGCGCAAGGGTACCAGACTGGCTTCTGCTGGGTGTGGCAGCCTTTGGGGTGGCAGGGAGCTCCAGGACCTACCTGAAGGTGTAGAGGGAGCCCATGTCCAGCATGGAGAGCAGTTCTGCTTTGGATTTGGGGAAGGTCAGGCGGTAGTGCAGGGTCTCAAATGCCGGCACTATGAGAGCTGCCTTCCTGTGAGGCAACTCCAGCTGCTGGATGGAGTTCCTACAGAGATAGAAAGGGTGTGAGGCCTCTGTGCCCATGAGCTGTGAATACAGCCCTGTTCCTAATTCCCCTACATCAGCCCCACCAGCCCCCCCACAGCTCCATAAAAGGATTAATGCGTTTAGACACCAAGCAGTGCTGCCGTACAGGAGCTTATGAGGCCTCACAGCCACTTCTCCTTCCTGATCCACTGCCGTCTGATAAAAGCAAGGACAGAAGATTGAGCAGAAAACAACCAATTTCTACACATAAAAAACAGCTGCCTGGGGCATGTCCTGCAAACTCCTTACCTGAGGTAATCGTAGAGGCCATACATAGGCAGGAAGTCAATGTCAGTCAGAAAGACGTATGGCGTCTGTGTGTTGGCCAAGGCCACGTTGCGCAGGAGGTTGATAGGGTAGAACTGCCCCTCCTTGTAGACGATGTGGTAGGCGACATTGCGGCGGGCACTCAGCACCTCTGAGGCCTGGGCATAGCGCAGGAACTGCTGGGCCTCTGCGTCCGACATGTACAGCGCCAGGCTGATGGGGCCAGCCCAGTGTTTGCAGATGGCCTCCAACATCTGCAGCCTGCAGAGCAGAGAGCATTGTGTGAGTGAGAGTCCTGCCTTGTGGGAACCTGGTCAGACCCAGAACTAAGGGCTGTCAGAAAGCTGCAAGCCATCCAAGCCCAGTTCAGGACAGAGTGGAGGGAATTAGTGCTCCCAACACAGGCTACTTGCTGCTCTTTGCTGCATTGCTCTGGTGTGAGGGTGAGCAGCCCATGTTACAGATCCCATGTAGCTCCTGAGTAGTAAAGTCACCCCAGAGGCAGTGGAGGGGGAGCCCAATCACCCATCAACCCCACCGGTAAGTACCTGTCCATGGACAGCTGGGCCACGAGGGTGACATCGGTGGGGTTGGGAAGGGCCAGGAACTCATACTGCAGGAAGAACAGGTGGACGCGGTGCTGCGTGAGGTGCTGCCGGCGGAAATCATAGCAGGGATCATCCTCGTCCAGCTCCTCGAGTGCCTGCTGCAGCTGCAACACCGCAAAGGTGAGGCACGGCAGGAGACCCAGGGGGGAGCACGGGGAGCTGCCGGCATCTCTGCCTGTCCCGTGCCCTAGGCCAGGGACAGAGCTGCAGTCAGCCTCACCTGGTCGCTGGGTGGGCTGGGGAGACTGGCACAGCCAAAGAGCTCCCTGCGCAGCAGGTTCCCATCGTACTCCAGGAAGGTCAGGTAGAGGTTGCGGAAGAACTCCACATGCTTGTTCTTCACCCGCAGCTTCTTGGGTGAGTTCCAGTGGATTACCTGGGATATGCAATGGCATATCATGCTGCAGAGGGGAAGTCAGCAGCACCCAATACTCCCCAGAGCCCCCAAACACCACTGTTGACTGCCCAAGACCTCTGGATCCTGCACCCTGTCTCCTACATGGCAGAAGCATCTAGTAGGAAGAGCACAGGGCTCCTCATAGGAGAACCTGTGATTCTGCTTCACAGGCCACAAAAATCTACCCACCTTGAGATCTGAGACCTCGGTGTAGCACAGCTCTGAGCGGGTATGATCGGAGAGCTGCACATTCCAGAAGCACGGGAGCCGATACACCAGGGCTGGGTTCTGCTTGATCACTGCATTAAAGATGTCCTAGGAGAGAGAATGGTGAGTGCAGAGGAGGATAAAGAGGACAGTATGGCCCCCATATGACAGCACTGCTATGGGAACAGAGCAGGGCTGGCCACCCTGGAGGCCTTACCTGATCAGCCAGGGAGGTGGAAAGCATGCTCATGAGCTCCCGCTCCGCTGTCAGCCGCCACATCTGCTCCCAGCCCAGGCGACGCAGACGGTCCAGCAAGAGCAGGATCACCCCTGGGAGCCAGGAAAGAGGATGCTAGGTCCACCAGTGGAGCACAGCAGCCTGCATGCCTCCAGCCTCTGGGACATGCCACTTCTGTGCACATAATCTCCAGGATGCTGTAGCAGATCCACATGCCCATGTCAGCCTCCCCAGTCTCCCCACACACACACTGCCCCAGCTGGGTGTTCCGTCAGAGTGTAGGAGCCACCTCAGCAGCTCTCACTCACCTGTGTTGAAGCCACGTCCCAGTGCTGGCCATGGTTTGTGGTTCTTCCAGAGGTTGCCCAAATACCAGTCGCTTTGGTTCTCCACCAGCCCAATCACCTGCTTTTCTGAGGAAAGAGAGGGACATACATGTGGCCCACACCTCTACAAGTTTGGAAGGTGCAAGTAAACCCTCTACATTAGTGCTGAAGCTGATGGGGACCACCATGCTGATGTGGCAGCAGGCCCTGTCAGAGCTCCAGCGGGTCCCAAAGGCTCTCCATCCTCACCAGAGAACTTCCCGAAGACAGCCCAGAGCTCAGCAATGTCAGTAGCGAAGGTGATGTCAGTGTCCAAGACGATGACCTTGGAGAGGTTGGAGGGCAGCGCCTTGGTGAGCGTCAGCTTCATCAGCCCGTAGATGCCAGAGTAGTGCTTGTTGGGGATCCACGACACCTCTGGCTGCAAGGTGACATGGCCTCAGGGCTGGGCATGGGTGGGCCCTTCCGGCCTGGGCAGGAGAGCCATGTTTCTCATACAGAGGAGGCCAGCAGAGGGACACAACAGGGTTGGGGAACCAGGAAAAAGCATTAATTATCTCCCTCCCACTCTCTCTGCCACTCCCCTGGGACCCTGCAAGCACCCAGCTGGGATAGAAAACGAGGAGAATGCAGAGAGGGAAGAGTGCCTGCCTTCAAATCATCGGCGTTGTAGAAACTGACGTGGATGGAAGGCACCATCCAGGACTGGAAGAGCGTCTGGAGGATCTGGTGGGCCACCGAATCCGTGATGAAGTGAAAGTGGAGGGGGTTTTTCCTGCCAAGGGCAATGCAGCAGCACTCAGCACCACAGCAGGAGGAAAAAGACATGGTCCTCATCTCTCCCACCATGGCAGAGGACAGACATCAAGCACATGGAGAAAAATCACACATCTGGGGGTGGAATACAACTATCCTCTTTAAGTCTCAGAAATGACACAGGAGGCAGAGAGAGGACTTAGAGCCTCTCTCCTCCAGCACTGCCTTCCTTATAGCATATCTGGGAACCCCAAACCATCAGGCCTCTGGCACAGCACATCCCTGTTACCTGTGGAAGAGGATGGATTTCACCAGGGTGACCACATCCCGGCTGGCGTTGTGTCCAGCACACACAATTGCAACGTGCAGGAGCTGCCCAGAGACAAACATTGCTCTTTTGAGACTGGCTTCTTCCTGCAAAGGACAGTCAGAGGCCCAGCTCCCTCTGAGCAGCCCTTTTGGCTGTGCCACCCACCTCACACTTGTGCACCATCCGCTGCTTGGGGCAGGCCGTGCGGTTGTTCCTCTCACCTCCAAGGGGGGGCCCATCCTCGGCAGAGGCCCCCCACTGTGGGATGCCATCGCTGCCCTCCACCTGCACCTGGCCAAGCTGCATGCGGAGCTGCTGGTTTTCCTCCTCCACCCGGCGCACCTGTGAGGCCAGTGCCTCCCGCTCCACATCCCGACTCGGCTGCTCGCCCAGGCATGGCGGCAGCAGGAGAAAGCGGCCGTCTGCGGGGACATGGGGGGACATGGAGTGGGACACGTGGGCATGGCAAGAGGACAGTTGTAAGCCAGAAGGGACAGTGTAGGGATGGGGGCAGAGCCCCAACCTGATCAGAGAGGTCCTAGGACACCCCCATGTGCCCAACATCACATCACATCTCTGCTCCAGCAGTCCCCAGGAAAACCCCTAGGGCTCTAAAGACCAGTACACACACAGCCATACAGCAGACCTCCCATGGCCTTGGCCTCTCCAGCACACTCTGTGCTGGGGACCTTCCCAGGAACTGAGGGAGAAAGATCCACTCACATTCAAGGCTGCCCACGAAGAGGTAGAGCCAGGAGAGAAGGACGGCAAGGGTGACGGTAGCGAGCAGCAGCTTCAGCTTGACACGCCAGGAGCACAACATGATGGGCTGGAGGGAGCGGGTGCCAAGGATCAGGTGGGCAGGCCCAGTCTGGCTAGCCCCAGCATCCTAGAGCCTGGAAGGACAGGGAAGCAGGGAGCAGGGTCACCAACAGCCCTTGGCATCCTCCGGGTGTAAGATCCCTGGTTCTGGACTGCTTCCCAGTGCCTGCCCTTGGGAGGGAGAGCAGAGCCCTCCCCCACTGCACTTGAGGCAAAGCCTGAAGGACATGGCTGGGCTGGGCAAGCTGTGCTGCCAGGAAGCTCAGCCCATGCTGAGATAAGCGAGGAGCCCCAGCCCAGCCCACTGGCTGCCTTCCCAGCCCTCCTGCCAGCAGGGGCATGGGGAACTCCAGCGGCATCCCTTGTCCCCTCCCAAGATCCCAGCAGATCAAACACCTCCACTTTCTCCTCAGGCTGAATGCAGCTACCTGCCCTGGTGAAGTCTGGTGTCACACTAGAAAGATCCCAAGTAGTCTGGAGCATCAGCTTAAAGGAACACACGGCCTGGGGGTGGATGAAGCAGAGGGGACTTGGGCACGCTGCTCTCACCACTCTGAGATGCTGCTCCATGGCACCACACTATTTGCTTTGTCCCCACATCCCAGCCCAATGGGGGAAGCACTGCTGTGCCCACGCAGGCAGCTGGAGGCACCTGCAGGGCTCCTGCCCTCCAAAGCCATTTTTTTTACATAGGAAGAAAAAGGGGAAGAAACCCCCGTGTCACCTCCCAGGTCAAATGCAGGGACAGAAAGATGGCCTCAAGATCATTGCCCTGTGACCTCCCTCAGAAGCCAGGTGAATGGGGCAGACAAAGGTCCCACAAAGCAAGAAACCACCAATCTCCCCTCATCCCCCGCCTGGCCCAGCATCTGAAGGTGCCACAAAAGCCCGCGCTGCCTCTCGGATGAATGGACCGGATTAGGGCCTCTTCCACTCCCCTCCCTCCTTGCACTCCAGAGCCCATTGATGTGCAGATACCAGAGGGCCTCTGGATGAGGCAGGCAGCCTGGGAGGACATCCCCTGGGTGAGGGGATGGGGTACCAATGCTCCCAGGCAGAAACCGCTCCCACAAGCATGGTGGGAGCTGAGGCACCAAGTGGGCACAGGTCCCTTCACCCTGCAGGACCTTGGTGAGAAACTTCAGCATTTCCTAGGGCTCTGCACACTGCCGCCAGTTCATGACCTGTCCTGCAGACCCATCTCCACCACTGCACCTGTGCACCAGGGGACCCTCAAACTTTGTGCTGGGCTCACTACACAAAAGGGAGAGTGAAGAAAGCAGAAGGAGACCAGCAGGCACTGAGCTGTCCAAAAAAACAACCGATGGGAAAGAGACCTCCGTGCCAACAAAGAAGGGACAGTCCCACTGCTCCCAGTTGTCCCATGGCCTCTGCCCCACTTGCCTGCAGCGCTGGGGACCCTCCCCAGTAGGGAATGGTACTCTCCACATATAAGCACATGGGTGGCACAGCAGTTTCAGGGAACACAATGGGGCTAGGACAGCAGCAGGCCCGGGGCAGAGATGCTGAAGAGGCCCTAAGAAGCCTACACTCTGCAGCACTCCCAGCCCCTCCCTCCCCTCATGTCCCCTCACCTGCCCCAGGCAGCAATTCCCTTACCTGCCTTCCCCTTCTCCTGCCAGTGCCTCCCAAGCGGCTCTCAGCCTGCTGCCGCACTCCCTTCTGGCCCTGCCTTTCCCAATCCTCCCTTTACTCCTCCCTTTCAGATCTGACACTTCCCCCCCAGCTCCTCCCGCTCTCAAACCCGATCTCCCCCCACCCGCACACCCAGCCCTGGCCCCCCTTTCGGAGGAGGAAAGAACAAACAAAACCAGATTAAATTCACTTGCTGCTCAAGAGCCCCCCGCACTGGAGCACTGAGCTGCCCTAAGTCAGGCAGGAGAAACCAGCCTCCTGCCCTGCAACTCCCTGCCTGATCCCAGGCCCCACATAACCCTCTTCAGCCAAGATAAAGACAGTGTTAGGGTTAGGTGCCCCATAACCAACTGCTTTCTCTTCTCCCAGGGCAGGTGCAGGGCACTTCGCCATTCTTGGGAGAGCTGGAAGACAGCTCTGAGCTGTGCTGCCCACACGGGGAGGCATAAGTGTGGGATGTGGGTTGCTCAGCTGCCTTCCTGATGACTCGGAGAACAGAGATTGCAGGCACTCAGGGCTGCAGGTGCTATGTGGAAAGGCTGCAGGTGCAGGAAGGAAACAGAGCTGCCCACCCATGGCTCAGGAGCAGAGTAGGCCTCCAGCCCCAGCAGCCTGGGAGCGCAGCACCCCGTAGAAGTGGCAGCAGCAGCAGGAGCGGGAGGCAGGGCTGGGAATGCTAACTATGCAGAGATTGCCTCTACCTGCAGCTCCCCTGTGCCTGGCCCCAGGGCTGGGAAAGGCAGCTCCTTCCCCTGGGACAGAGCAGATGGAGGAGCTCCTGCCCTCTGCTCCCACCATGCAGGGAGCAGGCACAGCAGGGTGGCAGCATGGAGGGATTGGGATGCAACTGTCTGCATAGCAAAGGAATCGAAACATAAATTGTCCTCCACCCCATCAGCTGCAGTAGCAGGCATGGGCCTGCCTTATGAAGATGGAGCAGGGCTGGGGAGGCCTGGTCCCCACCCAGGCAGTGCAGAAATCACTGCCCCAGGAGATGCATTCACCTCCTGCTCGGGCTCATGCTTGTCTTTGCAGAGCTCCAGGCAGAACAGGCAGTTAATGAATAGCACCTTAACAGCACCTTCCTGCCCAACCTGGCCCCAGCAGCAAGAGGAAACCCCCATGGGCCCCGCTCCACTGAGCCAGCTGTACCCTCCGCGGGAACCCTCCCTTCACTCCCCAGCAGAGCTCAGCCCCAGGGCCTGCCTGCCCCATGCTATCCATCACGTAGGAACTTTAGGGCTGCGGGGGGGTGGCAAGCAGGAAGGTAATTACACAGCCTCTCCTCCCCCACACAGTAGGGAGAGCAAAGCACAAAGCAGCTCCCAGCCGAGCGCCACGCTGGGAACCAGTGGCCATGGCATCATGTGAGCATAAACTGTATGGAGGACCCTGCCCATGGTGTGGGCCATGCATTGGTCTGCAATGCAGAGTTCTCACCTTCCCCACGTTTGTCCCCAGCCTCCCTCACTCAGACTCCCTGCTCACACCAGATGAGCACTGCCCATGGTAAGACGAACAGTTTCCCACTAGCACTGTTCTCCATTTCCAACGCCAGCACAAGGATGAGGGGCAAAATGCTGGCTACAGCAGGTTGCCCTCCTCCCTCCCCCATGCCTCTCACAGGAGCAGGGCAGCTCCAGAAGGGATGGGGACACACACAGGACGAAGGGGCTCAAGGTCCCCCCAAGGCCAGTCTGTTGCTGCAGTAGGGGTCACCTCAACTCCACCTCCTGCAGTGACACAAGGGTCACAGCCGGATGACATGGAGCAGCAGGCCAGCTGCACTAACAGGGCTCCAGGCCCAACACGGAGTCAGAGGCTGCCAACCTGCAGCCAGGCCTGGGCAGAGACCTCAGCCACCACCACTAGGAAGGGTGGAGAAGAAAGCCACACGTGCCTGCCTGACCTCTGAGGAGTCAGCAGCAGCACCTGCCCACCATGCCCCCAGGCTGCCTGCAGCCCCACGGTGCCCTTGTGCTGGCTCAGCCCAGCCAGCCTTTGCTCTCCCTGACTCCCTGCTCCCCATCAGGTGAGGAGTTAATGTTTAGGGAGTGCTAGCACAGGTCATGTGAAAGACCAAGGCTCACCTTTCCCCAGCACAAGCAAAACTGCTGGGCCAGTCCCAGCAGAGAGACAGAGACGAAAAAAGTCTCTGAGGAGAGGCAACGGGACAATTTATTTTGCTCCTTTGAGAAAAAAGAGGGGACAGGTGGGCTCCTTGTTCAGCAGATCACTGCTCTGCAGCACCCAGCTGCAATCAATCAGAGGTCATCTCCCTTCACATCTCCAAGATGCCTCCTCCATGCGACGAGGGCCGCACCAGCTGGCAGATACCACACAGGCAGCTGAGAGCGGAGCAGCTGCAGGAATGTACAGAGGCGGAAAGGAATTTGGCCAGGAAAGCAGGATTAAAGCCCCATGCTCCGGATTACCACCCCACCCCTCCTTCTCCCAGTCTTATGATAAGTGAAACTGAAGTGAGAATTTCACCTCCACATCTCCTTGGGAAGAACAACCTGTGGCAAAGCAATCGCCATATTCCAGAGATGGGATCAAGCCACAGGGTGAGACACCAGAATATGAGCTGTAAAACAAGAACATGCGGTTGCCATCCCTTCACATCCACCAAGCTATGGAGAAAGCTCTGACAAAGACTAGCATCTCCTTGCTTCAGCTGTGCCTCAGTTGTGCCTCATTCCTGTGTATTTTATTCCACGAAGGTCATACAGAAAAAGCCACTGTCTTGTGACAGAAGAGCACACCACTCAGGAAACAGGAGCTGACAGCCCCCAAAGGGTGTTAGCTGAAGCTCCCAGTTTGGCCAAAGCAGGGAGTTTCATCACCAGACTATTTCCTTTTCTCTCCCAGAGCACAAGGAAACCAACAAGTCCAGACTGAGCCTGACACAGGCACATGCCTCACTGCTTACCTTTCCACATCCGAGGCCCAAGAACACATCAGGGAACAATTCCTGCTGGCAGGAACACTGATCATGAGGCTCTGCTAGACACAGCTTGCTCTAGCTGAGCACACAGCCAGGCTCCTACCCACAGCTGGGCACCAGGTTCTGCTACATGATCTGTGGGGCAAGCACAGGGAGCCAGGAGTCGCAGCACCATGCGAGCAGTGTGCAGGAAGCTTAGGTTTGCCAGACGTCCCACAGTGTTTGCAAGCCATGCAGGTGCATTTCACCACCACCCTCAGGCAAGGCATGATAGGGCCACCCAGCCCAGTCAGCAATGTGCTCTCACTCCTCTTAAGCCTGTGGAGAGGCTGGAAGGACCCAGCTGGCAACAGCCTTCAGCCACACCTGGGTTGCATGCCTCTGCACATGCTGCATTTGTCCCTCTGTGCAGCAAGGGAATCAGCAGGACACAGAGGCCTGCATCGCATCATCATGTGCTCTCCTGGCCAACACAGCTAGGAGGAGAGGAACCAAGCCTGGATTCTGTGCAGCAGTACAGCAGGGGACAAAAGGATCCTGTATGCTTCTTGAAACAGAAGAGGAACAGCATTTGGGCTGATCTCCAACTCCCATCTCTCCATTGGGATCAGGTTTCTAATATCTGCATTTTGCTGATGACTGTGCTGCAGCTAATGGCCAGCTCTGAATGCACGAGGTTCACTGTGTCCCTGTCTCCGGACACTGAAATCTGCTCACTAGGCCGTTTCCTGATTCCTCTGGCTCTTCTAACTGCTGCAGGCATGCAGCAAACAGCAGCAGTTCTTGGGGGTAAGAGCTGAGAAGCAACAGCAGGGTCAGCAGTCAGGAGCTCCAGCTTCTATCTAAGTCTGCCTTAGCAAGCCATCTTCTAGCAGTGCCCATGCTGGAGCATATAGCGGTCACCACATCCCACAAAGCAAAGGGATGAGAATGTCACTGCGCATAGCAATGCCTCAAACTGCCAGCTAGCAGAGTGCGACCCACCCCCATTCACCAAGGTAGGGACTGGCAGATGTCCTCCCATGCAAAACATCCCTCCTCCCCACCAACCCTGGGTAGATGCCAGGGGCACAACTCTGAGCCAGGCCCCAGGTGCCTAGGGTATCTCACTCCAGCAGAGCTGGGTGAGTGTTTATGGCTGAATAGTTATTGATTGAGAACTGAAATTTCCAGACAGCTCTGAAGTATTGGCTACTTCATGACAAGTTTTGGACAAGAACAAAATGCTTTGCTTTCCAAGCAAAAAGTCTCACTTTGCATTGTTTTGCTTGCAATTGAGCTCTGTTACATTTAAAAGATAAAAATGTCTCTCAAACTGGGTTGTGGTTCCTCTCATTTTCTTCCAGCCTTTCATTTTGGGCACTGAAGCAATGAATTATTTGCTCAGCTCTGCTCTCCAGACAAGCTGAGAGCAACAGAAACCAAAGGGATGCAGGAGCTGTGCTTAAGCAGCAGCACTAAGGAGGGTGCTAATGCTCAGACCTCAGATTGAGCTCTCTCAAGACCAGCATGCACTCATGGGGCCCTGTACAAGGGATGGCCAAGTACAACAGAGAAGAGGCATCCTCTTGTCCTAGCAGGCAGCAGTTCAGAGTAGCCAAGGCACACCACTGGCTGAAAGACAAATGCAACGCTTCTTGCACAAGCTGCTCTCCAGACCTTGGCCAGTACACTAAGGTCCCTCACTGGGGCTGCTCTTCTGAACACCTCCTGCAGTGCCAAAATCCATTCCACCAGGCACTTGAAAGCATGTCAGAGGAAAGCAAGGGCAGACCCTTTGCATCCCATTTGAAAAGGGATGACAGCACAAAGGAGGCTGACACTCGTCACAAGGCAGAGCTGCTCACAGCTGGCACCTTCCACCAGGGACTGGCCCAAACTGGGAGCTGTGCTCCAACAGCCACTCCTACATCTTCACTCAGGGCTATTCGTGGCATTGATGCCCTCAGTGCCCAAGGAGGGCTGAAAGTAGAGCTTCCCACATAAGAATGGAACAACTGCACTATAAATAGAAAATGAGGATGGCTCAGGGCAGGCTCTGCCCTGCCTTGAGGGAGGCTGTTAAAAACTCAAGCAGCAATACTGCCATCCAGTCAGAGTACCCTGGGCATTTTATAGCCCTGAAGTGATACCTGAGCTACAGACATGCACTGCAAATTAGCTCTGACACTGCAGAAGTATTGCTGTTGGTTGGTCTGAGAGTTAGCAAACTCAGCTGCAAACAAAACCTACATGGGAGCATTTTGCAAACTGGACACAAGGAAGCAACTGATAGGGGCAAAACGATGGGAAGTGAATCCCAAGAAGGTGGTTCCTGAAGGAAAGGGGAGAGAAAAATGCCCCTGAAACCTAAACTCTATGCTGACCCTCACCATTACTCCTCCCCATCTTATCCTGCTGCTAACTCTGTTCCCACCCCCAGGATTTCCTCGCACTGCTGAGCTAAGTCCTGAACTTTCACAGCAAAGGACAAAGGCCGGGAAGAAAACACATGCCTCGACTCAA